TCCATTTTCCATGTTGTTGGAGAAGCTTCACTTAAAAACACACAGCTCAAGCCGTACTTAGCACCCCGCCTGACATTTATGAGAAACACGACTCCTGAGCAGTCGGACCCATTTAAACAGACTCCACTCTTAGTGTGAACAACTTTCAGGAATTTGTTCATTTTCCTTTTTATTCTCAGCCCCACTTTTTGCATCTTTTTCATCTCCCTTCCAAAGCCCAACCGGCATTTCTCTCCAACGTTGCGAAGCATGTGGGTCAAAATAGCAGCGCTGAGGGACCCAACAGATTCACCTTTTCTCAAGTTCACATTGGTGGCAGCGGCGGCTGAATTGTAGGAGTTTATCTGGCACGCAGTAGCATCAGGAGAGTTCTCGGGTTTCGGTTGGTGGATGCATCAGGTCACACACAGACACACACACATATGCACACAGCTGTTGCTGTCACACACAGGCTGGCTGTTTAGCAAAAGGGAGGAAACGGGAAAAAAATACAGCGTGAGAAATTCTTGGAGGTCTGTTCGAGATGGGTAACTCATTCAAAAGTTCCAGTACGGGAAAATCTCAAACCAGATGGACGAATATCTGCTTTTTATTCTTGCTGTTCTTTGTTACTGACGTTAGCATGCAGACATGTTGGAGCTGCTGGATCCTGTGGACGAGTGGGAGAGGACGGGGTCAAGTTCCCTCTCTACACTTGGAAGTTGACTAAAACATCCACCCAACCCTCACTTACCTCCTCCTGCTGCAGGCGAGGACCCTATACATAGTAATGAAGCTGCTTTTTATCTGTCTAGCTGTCTAGCAGATGGTCATCCTGCTGCTGCGAGGATCGCTTTGCTTCGAATTCACCAGATTCTCTGGATAAGAATCAAACCAGGACCGCAGAGGCAGAAACTGTCTTAATCTGTTGACTGAGTGCTCACATGGACTCTTCGTTCAAACCCTGCATACAAACCCTTAAACGTCTTCTCTTTTCTGTTTGAGAATAAAAGTTAATTTATCCTAGCTGCCGTTCTTCCATTGTCCTTGCTTCCCAATGTCCAAATGACAGGACGTTATTCCTAATAAATAAATTATTCTTATATAGTGTTTTTCTATCTTATCAAGATATTCAAAGTGCTTTACAACACAATCTGTGTCCTCATTTACCCATTCATGCAGCACTTTGCTAGATCATACAAAGAATAATCAGAGCTTTATCACATTCATGCACCGATGGGACACACATCAGAGGCAATGAGGGGTTTAGTGTCTTGCCCAGGGACACTTCGGCATGTGACTGCAGGTGGACTCAAACCCCCAACTCTTGCATTGGAGGACGACTGCTCTAACCACTCAGCCACAGCCACCTCAAATAAAAATTGGCCTTATAATGCCAGAATGTTAAAGCTGCCTGGCTTCCAGTAGTATTTTCATTTTGCGCCACATGTAGCCAAGAAGAAAGGTAGGTGATAACGACGCCGAACCCTGCTGGGGTCATAAGGCCACTGGAATGTCAAACAGCTGAAGAGAAAGAGGTTTATTTGGTTTTAATGAAGTGCCAAGTCTTGGTCGTCCTGTGGTTGTATTGAGTTTCTCTTTCTGGATCCTGAAACAACAAACTGGAGGCCCAGTTTCATCATCACAGTTACCCCCGCTGTGCTTCACTTTAATTCTGTAAGACGAGTTGATTTGTGCTGCAACACAAACGGGTTAAAATACTGTATTGAAACCAGAACTTTTTCTCATGAGTGTATTTGTAAATATTCTGAAATGTACCTGCTGCCATTCAAAGTTCCCATTTTTGTTGTACGTAGATTGAGTTTAAAGTGGTAGCTCCGATCTTTTGAAGTAGACTTCAGTAGAAAGGTTTTGAACAATGAATATCCAACCTGTTGTAGATAGCTCTTTGAACGGCACCATGTTGGATGAATAAAGTTTAATTCAGAGCAGGTTCAGTTTTAAACTACGGTTCAGACCGTAGTTTAAAACTGCTCCAGTCTCAAAACTTTACCAGACATTTTTGCAAATGCTATTTTATTAGCATTGCTGTCAATTTTGAAACAACATGATTTGCATGGAGTTAAATATAGATTTTACCGAGTGGTAAAAGTGGGAGCATTAGCTAGCCGTGGTTCTTTGAGTTCAGCCTGGGAAGTTAATTATATCACAGATCATTGGCCTCATGAAGACTTGAGTAGATTTCTGGCTGTAGCTTATGCTTAAATCAAGGCATGAAATCTTTATTTGAATTTATGTGAAAGGGATAGGCACAAGTTTAAGTTCAAGTTGTGTTTATTTGTCATACGCACGGTTAACAATACAATGAAATGCTTAGGATGAGAAGAACTGATTTGACTCGCTAAAAAAAAAATCAAAGAACAAACAAGAAATAGTAAAGCATGCAGTAAGGCAGGGATGTCAACCTAATTTCTACCGAGGGCCACATCAGCTTAATGGTTGCCCTCAAAGGGCCAGATGTAGCTGTAAGACAGCATAAATGTAGCTAAATTTAACTAAATGTACAGTAATGTAAAATAAACACAACTACTCTTTATCAGTAAATAACTCTGATTTTTTTTTTTTTACTTATTCAACTTACAAATATTACATATATGTATTTGCATAGATGTAGAAAAATATGTCTGCTTGTTGCTCTGTTTTTAATATAAAACCCTTTTGACTTATTATACGACAATCAGATCTTTTAAGCTCTCGCGGGCCACATAAAATGACGTGGCGGGCCACATCTGGCCCGCGGGCCTTGAGTTTGGCACATGTGCAGTAAGGGTACAAAAATAAAGTGCCAAAAAATGAAAAAGTAATTATAATATTTACAACGGCCTAAAGAGAGATAGTAAACAACAACATGGTAGAATATAACTATATATATTGGGAGAGTGGTGGCGCAGAGGTTAGAGAGGTGGGCTTGTGATCCGGAGATCGCCGGTTCACGCCCCGACCCCGACAACATCAAAAAAAAAATAAAAAATTGTGGGTGGGGTAGGTGAAACACCCACACTTGCCCCCACCCTCATTCGCCCCACTCTGGGCCCATGAGCAAGGCACTTAACCCCCACCATGTGCTCCCTAAAACAGGTCTCTCTTGAAAATGAGTTCTCGTGGCTCAATGAGACTAACCTGGATAAATAAAGGCTAAATGAAAAAAATAACAGTTCAGCAGGATGAATTTGAATGAATAAGTATTTCAAGGTAGCAATATAAACTAAAATGCACATGATATATACATACATATATATTTATATTGCACATAATTAACATATACTACACAGGTGCACATTGATGGGCATCCAAAATTAAATGCAAATGTAAATATGCCAGAGTTGGCCAGATAGCTAACTTTCAGTTATGGTCCCAAGAACATTTCGTTCGTGCATTCCGGTCTTCGTGAAATTGAGTGCACGACACACCAATAAATGCAAAAATGTCCTGTACGCATGAGTCTCCTCTTTCATGTGTACATGCGGCACAAGAGTAGAGGAGGTTTGTGTGACGCTGTCAGTTGCAGCATTTAAAATGTTACACGTTTATTGACACGACGACTGTAAGTTTACACAGAGACACTCGGGGACGTGCTAGAATTTTCTGAAACTGTAGTTTAACCAGCAAAAACACAGGAAGTCACTCCCTTGAATCATTGACTAATATTGATTCTGTGAAGACCACATGAGTTTTTTTGGTGCAAAGTCTTGATTAAGAAGGGGAATTAATATTACTGTATCACAGTTGATGAATTTTATTAATCCAGAAGCCACCCATCAGCTTTTAGTTTGTTCCCAACCATGTTGTCCATTAGAATGAATCACGTTGAACCAGGCCACCTCACCGTAATGTAAAGCTGCGTTTGTGCATTACTGAGATCCAGATGAGTCCAACCCACACAGCTGGCATGCCTCGGCTCAGGGTCAACTCACCTGGTCTGTTGTTTTTCTTTTATTATTTACAAGAGCAATTTACAAAAGGCTATCTTTTATAAAATGGACCTAAACACTTTATTTTGCTAGTTAAAAAGCAAGGCATCTATTTTTTTTTAATGTTCAGTACTGTTGAATCCTAAATTATTATTATTTTAATCTATCCAGTTGTTTAAATTTGTTAAGTGTTACTTTTATTGGACACAGTCCATTCAGGACTTTTGAATTGTGGACTGTGGACACGTCCTGCAGCCTCGTCACTGGCTCTGCTGTAAAAAAAAATCCAACAACATGAATTTAATTTCTGGTGTATAATATTAAAATCTCTCCAACAATAAAGCAAAACATTTTTCTCTAATTTGTTGTAGGGCCCATTGAAATTGCTTCCTGCAATGAAATTAATGGAACGCAGGAGATTGAGGTGAAGCTTTCTGATGGAGTATTATCTGTGAGCTGTTGTTCTGTTTAACTTCACATAAACTGTTCCACTTCTTGGCACAGTGAGTCTTGGTGTTTGCAGCGTTTTCTTGGATCTCTTATCTTGCTTCCTTAGCCTGCAGGGGGCTGTTCCGTTTGTTTCTCAATCCATTGAATTAATACTGCTGTAAAGAAGGTGGGAGCCAGAACCATGGCAACCTTCAGCTTAGATTAGTGTGGGCTGTAAGCTGGCAGGAGATGTGCACACCACACACATACACACGTGCACATAAAATCAATACGTACTGGCAGGTGGAGCCTGACCCAGCGCAGTCTGACAGATACAGATGTTCATTTGTTGTTTCTCTGATTGAATCAAGATTTTCTTCTCTCCCACAGTGTAACACTCGGGCTTTAGAAATCATATTCTGTTGTATTTTCATCCCTGCTGATGTATTTTTAGTCCAAACACATGCATGTATTAACACTATTTATTACTTTAATAGGTCTTGCTCTGCTTTTCCCACAGTGTAATCCAAGGTTTTATCTTTCATGCCATTTTTTCTTCGTCTTTCTTACCCCCCAGTGAGGAAGGCATGTTGTTAATTTCAGTTCGGTCACTGTCAGAACGTTTCCACCATTAACACTCCTCTCTCCCGCCCCTGGCAGGATGATGAAGTGGTGCTACAGAGTGTGGCCACCATCCAGAAGGAGCATCGCAAGTTTTGCCTGGCTGCAGAGGGACTCGGAAACCGCCTGTGTTACTTGGAACCCACCTCTGAAGCTAAGGTGAGGAGAACGCACAGTTTTTGTTCTAGGGATGGGCCTTTGAATTTGTTGATAAATGCGGTATTAGATTCTCCTTTCAGCCTATCAGCCACTGCTCCAAACGTAAGACCAACTTGCAGCAACTCATGCTTTTCACAGTGCCTGCATATTTTCTCATCCATGCAGGGCTAATTATTGTGTTAGCACAACAGAAATCTGTCTTACTGAGTACAGTAGTCCCCCGTTTATCACCGGGGATCCATACCTGAAGACCCACGATAAGTGAAAAACCACGAAGTAGGAATAATAGTACAAGTAGTAAGTAGTAGTTTATTTTATTATATATATATATATATATAGACATTTTAAACCCTTCCCACACTCTTGCAATATTCTAAACAATGTTCCTAAACTCTGTAAAAGAGCACAGAATGTCATGATTTCAGCTCCCTGCCTCCTCTGCTTTTTGCCACCTGCAAGCGCTCTTGGCCACGCCCACTTGTCTCTGCTCAGCACAACAGCTGATCATGCATGGAGAACAGCTGATCAGCTGCAGCAGGAAGTTTATCCTGCAGCTCTGGGCTGCACAAATGTGCAGCAGGTGCTAAATAATTTAAAATAATTTATTTTGAATAAAAAATCCATACTGATCGTGCGGCTCATCCATCAGTCAGCCAGTTGTGTGTCATGTCCAATCTTATTTTGAAAAACCGCCACAGAGCGAGTCTGCGATAAACGAACAGCGAAGTAGCGAGGGACTACTGTACTATCTCAGCTCCTGCTTAACGATTAGACTTGTTGCCTGTTTCATGTTCTTGCTGGAAAGTTAACTGTGTCCACATGGTTGGATCTTTATGGAGGAACAACATTTACTCCTTTAAATTCTGCAGCTGCCAAATGCTCCAATGAAACATTGGCTTCAGGTACAGAGACATGTGCTGCTGCTAATTATGCTAGCTTTGTTTTCGTTCATTTGTACAAGTTTAATGGGTTAAAGTTTCAAAATAAACTAGGATGGCAGTTTGTTTTCATTCTTTGCATTTTATTTTAAAAAATCTGTTTATGGAGGGGGATAGGGCGGTCGTTAAAAGCCCCTCGACTGGAAATTTAGAAAACAAAGTGTCCATGCTAAATAAACACAAAAACTGGAATAATAGCATTGTCTTAAAAAAAAAAAGTTTAAATGTTTGGGTGCATTAAAATGTTAGCAACAGCAGCACTCGATCAGTAAGAGACTTTCCAATGAACGATCAGCGCAGTTTTTCCTTTCCGTTTGTATTTTTTCATCTTTTTATTTTTTGTACTTTTAGAATTTTGTTTACAAAAATGAAGCACTTTTATGTTGTTTGCAATACATTTTTTGGATATCCAGAAACTTGGAATACAAAAATAAAAAGTTACTCGTCTGTGGTGTCGATGTGTTTTTCCCATTTTTGTATAGTTTTTATAGTTTTTAGCTCTAGAACCCCCGGACCTTGGATGGGGACGAGTGGAAAACGTTCTGCTTTTTACTCACTTCCCTTGAAATGTTCTTGAACCAGAGGCCCAAACGTGTTCAAGGCAGACCATTGCACACACACACAACTCTCCTCGATGTTGGACAGGTAATAAATTGGATGTCGTTGAGTGCGAAATATCTCAGATCATCCAAGATGGCCGCTGTGGTCTGTTTTGAGGAACAGGGAGAGTTCTCTGCCGCCTGATTTCAGGCGATGACATTTTTCTTACAACGCCTGACCGCCTGCCTCCGCTACAAACAATAAAAAGGCCAAAGTGAAAGAAGTACTCTCTTAAAAATGTTATTTAAAGTTCTGCCAAAACTAACTTTTAACGGTTCCACGGATATAAAATGAAAGTCCTAAAGTATTTTATTGAGGGAAACTGCCTCTTGAGAGTGAAGTTTACCCTTTACTGATTAAACAGTGTATATTTTTATTTTGCTCACATCTTTGTTCTCACGACTGATTATATTAAATACATATTTTTCCAATACATATTCTGTTATTTAGTAATCAAATATTTTAATATTTCATGTTCTCTTTTTCCACTGACAAATCACAAAACCATACATAAATCCATCAATGCATTTGTTTTGCCAAATCTGTTTTTTTTTTTCAATGAAAAAAGCAGATAAAGTAATTATTTTTCTCTTTTTAGTCCTTCCTGTTTTATTTGGAAAGCTCCCTCCCCACTCTGTTTTGTGTTACTTTACTTCCTGTTTGTCCTCCTTGAACCATGAAATTAACCTGATGGTTCCCACCTGAGCCTCATTAACCTTCAGCCGCTGCTGTTTTCAGTCAGTCCGACATATTTTCAGCCTCCTCACCTGGTCTGCTCGTGCAGCTTCCTTCTAGTGAGTTTCACAAACGTTTAGTGTTGTCAGTTCTATCGTTTAGGTTTTAAGAAGTGTATCTTTTCAGTGACTCATCTGTCTGTCAGGTACACCTGTTTTCAGGTGCTGTTTGTGAGCTTCTAATTAAATAGTTTAATTGAATGGAAGTAGTTTTATTGACTTAAGTATATATATATAAACATGCTTTAGAGGGAATAAAACCAATGACAAAATTTTCCTAAGCCTCTTCCGATGAGATTTCACTTTTTGTATATTTTATTAGTTTTTTCTGAACTTTATTTTAAATTAATTTTCAAGATGCTCTTGGGAAAAAAAATGAATAATTTGAATTGTTTTGTCTGAATTCTCTCATCATTTCCTTATTTATTGTTTAGTACATTTTTTATTTTTTACAATGTACTTTTGTATACTGTATTTTTTGGACTATACGGTGCACTTAAAATCCTTTAATTTTCACAAAAATCAACATTGAGCCTTATGCATTAACTCTGGTTGACCTCGAACTGATTTTATGTGATTTATTGTGAATGAGTTGAATAAAGTTTGACTTCTCTGACCGTTTTGTTTTGCTTAATGCGTCATAATCTGGTGCGCCCTATAGTCCGAAAAATGCGGTACTTTGTAGTATTTTAGCCATACTTTTCAAAATGTTCAGCCCATTGCAGAAATGGATGCTATGACTTTTGGATTTTCTAAAATTTACACTTTCTTAAATGATTAATTGTAATTGGAAGTTTTTCCCCATAGAAATACGATATCTCTTCAGTCTGTTTCATCCTTCCTGCTGTTTTTAATCTTATGCTACTTTTTGATAGCCTGTTGTTGTTTTTAGCTTCTGTTTGCTACCTAATCTTTTAGCTAGTATTTCACTCTTTTTAGCATGAGTAACTCGGCGTCAGCTTCGTCAGCCGTCATTCAGCATTTTGCATTTTCACAGAAAATGCCATTTCTCTTGTATTTGATCCCTTCTGAATAGTCTAAATGTCATCTCCATCCAGTTTTATCTCCTGACGTTTAATTTGACCTTTCTGCAGCTCATATTATTGTACTATTCATTCATTCAACCTTTATTTAGACAGGTAAATCCCATTGAGCCTCGAGGACTCATTTACAAGAGAGACCTAATACTACATGATCTCTTCTTGTCAGACGAGGTGTAATGTATAGCGAATCGCTCCATCTTTGGCAAAAACTGCAGAATTAGAGGTGACTAATTCATCTGAACTGTCCAGACTTCACCTAGCAGTGTAGAAATGTACATGAAATTATTCTGCTGCATCAAATTACAGATCAAAGCCTGACTGTGTTATCGCGGCTCCTCCGATGCTGGAAATATCTCCGTGTTAATGTGCACCCACTGATCAGCATTTGCTTGTTTTAGTGCCCTGTAACGTGGACGCTCACTGTAGCGCTGGAGGTTTGAGCTGCGTTCCACAGCAGATGCATCCTCATTATCGCCCCGCTGCGCTAGTCTCCGCTCACAGTTCTCACTCCACTGCAGAGGTCCGGGGTCAGCCGGGTGTTTGACTGAACGAGGGAGCGTGCAGTCCTTTATTATTCACCTTTGCTGTGAAAAAAACGATGGAAAAACAACTTTCTGCTTTTACAATTCAGCTTATTTATGTTGGGTCAGTTCACAACAAAAGCCATTTCTTCGGATTGTACTGGAAAAACCACTCATAAATCCGATCCAGATTCAAATCCAGTTTATGTAAACTATATATCAATGTTATTCAGGAATGTGAACTGATGCCCGTCTCTCTTTATATGTCTAATATTAAATAATGACAACTAGAAAAGTTTGTTTCAAGTTTATACAATGAGATGTGTTACAATCAGTCTGCCTCTGTGACACTTTTCGTTTGCAAGTACTTTGCAGGATTTATACATCTTTAAAAGTCGTATTTATTTGTTTTTAAGCTCCATTCTATTTGCTTAAACAGTATGATTAAAAATATGCTTCAATTTTTTTTTTTATCTGTTATTGATGTTATCAAAACATACACATGATATTTGTACTGAAAGTAGCAGAACAAATACCATAACAGAGCACTTTGCTCTCAGACTACCGGTACAGGTTTACTTGTGGTTCCTAGAGTTTTTATAATGTAAGACTTTTAGTTATCAGGCTCCTTTTCTTGTAGAACCACCGTCCAATTTTTGAGAACAAGGCACTCTCACACTACTTTTTAAAACTTTTTTTGGGATAAATCCTATAGTTTGGGATTCCTGAGCCACCCCTTAGTTGTGCTGCTATAGGCTTAGACTGTTGAAAGTCAGAATGAAATTCTTGAGGAATAAGGTACAACTTCAAGTTACTGGTGGCCACTTTTTTAACAGCCCTTGTGATCTGTCACACAGAAATGGTAGAAAACTTAAACAAATCGTAGGTAAGTTTTTCAGTACTAATTTGTACTGAGCAGTTTATTTACTTGTCTAATGAAATCCTGCAGTATTTTGTGATTTTTATACTGCGTTGAAAACTTTTAGCAGTTTGTGTCCATCAGACAATTCTATGTAAACATGATTCAATAACTCACAAATAAGAAGGCGTGTGCAAACGTGCCAAACTGTTTTTTTTCATTCAACCTTTTATTTATACAGATAAATCACATTGAGCCTTGAAGACTCGTTTACAAGTGAGACCTGTTTAAACAGATAAAAAAAAGTAATGAAAGTGACATGTATAGGATTTGGAGGCAAAAAACCCCCAAAAAGAATCCTAACAGACTCTTATTCCTTGGCCGAGGAAAGAGAGCCTGAAATTGAAAAAAACACTATGCACATAAGTATAGGCTCATGCATGTTATAGGTTATGAATCAAAACGTTTCTGGATTACATAAGTGGTTTCCTGTTTAACGGTATAATTTTGGTGATGCAGTACTGTCATTAAGATTTTCTTCTTGGTCACTCCCTGCACATTGGATAACTTTGCAATTGGAATCATAAAACGTGTTCCTAAAATAGTTTTGCCCCAAAGTTCTGAGTTTCAAATTTGGAGAGGTTCGTATAACAAGTCAAGAGCAACCAAACATTTTATTTTGGACAGAGAAGAGGGTTTAGCGGGACATCTGCTTCCCTACGAGGCCATGCAGGTAACAGAAGAGGAAATTCAAGCAGCACAAACTCATGGAATAAGCTGTTTTTCCTCGAGGAGAACCCGTTTTTCTCATTACCTTGTTAATCAGTACATGTGTCCCTTTGCTCTCCTTCCCTACTTTCTTTTCCTCTCCCTCTCCTGTCCTGCAGTATGTTCCTCCAGACATGTGTATTTGTAACTTTGTGCTGGAGCAGTCCCTGTCGGTCCGAGCCCTGCAGGAAATGCTGGCTAACACCGGGCAAAGCAGCGAAGGGGTGAGTCCCTCTTTTATTTATTTTTTCTTCTTCACATTTATAACTCTCTGGTCACTTTCAGGTACCTTTTTAAAGCACACTCACATGATGCTTACCAGCAGAAAAAGAACCTGTTTGTGATTTGACACTGGTGCAAGAAACCATTTTTGGCATTTTGACATTTTATTTAACTTAGGGTCAGCAAAAAAAACCCTGAATTATAGTCTTCACAATGATGCTTAGTGAGCTTAATTTACTAAAAGCATCCAAAATATGTCCTCACAGGCAGAGCAGCTGAAGACCGAAAGGTGTAAATGTACTGAGGCTGCAAAAGGAAGCTCCTCAGCTCAAATGTGGGAGACATTTTGAAGCCATCCAACGAGGACCCGTTCCAAAATTCTACTTTTATCTAAATGATTTTCATCTTTGATTTGCTGCAGGCAATCAGACCTGTTTGCTTTATGAGACAGGGATCAGCCTTTTTGTCAAGTCAGGGTGATTTCTGTTTAAAGGAACGCTGTAGATACTTTTGAAGTAGTGTCTTGTGGAGTTATTAATCAGTATCTTACCTGTGACAGAAATTCCTCAGAATATCATCAGTATGAAATAATACCAGGTTCTCTTGGGAGAAGTGAGTAGTTGACAGGTCAGAACTGCATCAATGTAATATTTTGTCAATGTCATTTTTATTTCTGTGGCTCATTAACAACAACAGAAACTGATCTGAGTGCAGTTCCGTCGAACAAAACCAAGAAAAAAAAAAAAAGCAACCAAAGCTATGAAACAAACAAAGAACAGGTAAAAAGCTACAGAAACCAAAGTTAAACCATCAGATCCACTTGATTTCAAGCACCTCTTAAATCAAACGGCAAGAAATAGAATTCATTCCGAGCATAGATTTTAAAGTCAACAGTTTCAGCGGTTTGTAAATGACGAGGTAAACTAGAGAGATTTCAAGCAGCGACTGCAAAAGCTCGATCACCTTTGTATTTTAGTTTGGATCTTTGAGCACTAGAACCTGGTAGATTAACTGTGGGACTCACTTGAATGCAAATGTATGTTGAAAACTCAAGTTTTACATTTGCGTCAGCGTTGCTGATCTGCTTGGGTTTGAAAAGTATCAACTGAAATACTGAGAATATTACATTTACGAGAAGCTGATGGCTTTGATTAAATTTTCATTTATTTTAAACTTTTTAAGTCATGCTAAAAAGCAAAGATTGCTGTTGTCTTTAAACCAATCTCAAATATTTCACCTGAACCATACAGATGCATTTATATAAAACTTGATGTTGTAATTTTGCATTTAATGTTTATTTATGCAGAAAACCAAGGCTAAATGTGGTTGTATCAGCAATGGTTCATGTGACTTTAACAGAAAATGTTATTATATTGCAACATCTCACATGAACCATCGCTGATATTGGGCTGCAGACAACTCGGTCTTCGGTGTGCAAAATTAGATCTTGAACTATTAATGCAATTTTTGAGATTGGACTTGTTTTAAAGTGGCAAAAACCTACCTGCGCAATTTCAGGAGAACTTCTGATTGATATTCCAAATGTCCTGAAATATAGTTTATTTTAAATAACTCCACAAAACACCACAAAATATTTCAACTATTTTAAGGGAAACAAAAAACCCTTACATAAACAACTTAGAGGAATAAATGAGCAGATAAAAGCTTTTGCCTTCTTAAATGTTTTTCTGTGATGTAGTGAATCAGTATCTGATTTCCATGTTTCTGTGTTAAACAACCGTAGCTTTAAATGCCGTAAAGCTTCAAAAATATGATTACAGTAGTCTCTCGTTTATCGTGGGTGTTAGGGACCACGCCCCTCGCGATAAGTGAAAAACCGTGAAGTAAGGACACAGTAGTCCAAGTTCAAGTAAACTTTATTGTCATTATCTAAAAAAGTTAAATCTGGTCCTCTGGACATTCAAAAAAAACAAAACCAAGCAAAACAACAAAAAAATGTAGAAACGTTTCGTCTTTCGTCATGTGGTACATGAGATGAAACAAAATTTTGTACACAAGTAGTAGTAATAATAAGTAGGACTTTATTTTAGAATTTATATACAGGTATATATTGGCGTTTTAAACCCTTCCCGCACTCTTGCAATGTCCCTAACAATTTTCTAAGCTCTAAAAGAGCACAGCTTGTCATGATCTCAGCTTTCTGCCACCTGCGGCACTCTGCCACGCCCACTTCTCCGCTGCAATCACACTCGCGCTCGTCACTCCTAATCTCCTTCCTTCTGTGTAAATAAACAGTTAAAATTTAAATACTGTACTGTAATAGTTTAAGTAAACAATCCATGCTGCACGAGCAGCTTTATTTTAAATAATCAAGCGCGAATGGCCAGGCCACCGGGAAATGTGCTCCGAATGGCCAGTCGCCCCAACCTGCTGCTGCAGGTGCTAAATCATTTAAAATAATTTATTTTAAATAAACAATCCATGCCGCCTGAGTGGCTCATCCAACAATCAACCAACTGTGTGTCATGTACAATCATATTTTGAAAAACTGCAAAAGAGCGCGTCCGCAAAAGTCGAACCGCGAAGTAGCGAGGGCCTACTGTACGCTATGTTTTCTTTAGTCACAGGAATGAATTTGATTGCAGTTACATGGATTATGACTTTTCCATCTTTTACTGCTTGATAATACAGTAGTTCCTCGTTTATCGTGGGGGATCCGTACCCTGAAGACCCGCGATAAGTGAAAAACCGTATAATAGTAGTACAAGTAGTAAATGGTAGTTTATTTTAGTATTTATATATATTAATGCGTTTTAAACCCTTCCCACACTCTTTCAATATTCTAAACAATGTTTCTAAATGCTCTAAAGGAGCACAGAATGTCATGATTTCAGCTCTTTGCCTCCTCTCAGCCACGGCTGCACTCAGCCACCTGCAAGCGGTCTCGGCCACGTCCACTCCTCCGCTCTGCACGGAGAACAGCTGATCAGCTGCAGGATGAAGCTTATCCTGCATTGTATGGTGCACAAAGTTGCAGCAGGTGCTAAATAATTTTAAAATAATTCATTTTAATTAAAAATTTCATGCCAATCGTATGACTCATCCATCAATCAGTCAGTTGTGCATCATGTCCAATCTTATTTTGAAAAATAGCGATAGGGCGAGTTTATGATAAACTAACTGAAGTATTTTGGGACTACTGAACAGAAAATGTTAACTCTTAGAAGTAAATATTGTAAAAAAAAAAAATAAAAAATCAGCTCATATCAAATCAAAGTCCAGTTGCTTTTATATCTCATAGTTGGATGACTCTACAGAACATGGAGCCTTTTTTTTTAACACAAAGAACTTTGATTTCTGTAGAAAAAACCCCTCTTTATTCTTTATAAAAACAACACATTCTTGTTCCTCTGATAATAAAAAGGCCTACAGGTACAAAGAAAAGAAATGATCCGAGAGTGCTCTGCAGCATCGTCCCTCTTCAGCCTTTTTGATTTGGCTCTGAACAGTTGGGAGTCTTTTCTTCTTGGCTCCACTCGAGCGCACTCAGCATGTTTATCAGAGCAGGATCCTGCTGATTCTCCGTTGTGCCACAGAAGTGTCCTTGCTAAAAATAAAGTACTATTATGGAGGGATGATCTGTCAAACCTCTGTAATGTTCAGCTGTATGGAGAACGCAGACAAGATTCTCTTCCTTTAGAACAACTTTGTTTTGGGACAACAAAGAGAAAACAATGCTTACTTGTCCATTAGATCATATAATTTGGAATAAGTTGCTTGATATTGCCATGTTTTGATTTTGAGGGGAAACAAATGTTCCTGCTGCATACGTGTGGTCTGAGCCATTTTTAAAGCAGTGCACCAGCTCGTTATGAGCTGCTTGAGACAGACCACTTGTATTGTAGGAGGAAGGAGCTGCAGCAGCATGAATTGTTGTGCAGTATGAATGTGGCAGACAGAAACCCAAGCAGCTCATGATATTCTGAAGCTATTTTTTTAAAAGATGAATTGGTGCCTCCATGCAAAACAGTTTGAGTTCTTGCTGGGTTGCTGTAGCCACAGTTGTCCAACACTGCCACAGATTGTTCCTAGAGTTTCACATGTGCACTGCCTGGGTCCTCTCTACTGGAGAATTAAGCCTGCATTGTTGTTAGCCTGGGTAGCAGATTTGTTTTGTGCTCAGCATCGTTCGGCGAGAGGACACGATGTTGACGAGAGTACAAAACGTCTGCTAGCAAAGGCTGATAAATCATCCTTCTAGTTTCCACAGTCTGGGCCCATTTCTCCACCATCGATGCTCTGACTTGGACCGTCAGCCTCACGTCCCGATAACTCATTCTTTTCATCTGTATTTGTTTAATAGAGTGCTGACCATGAAAAATGGGTAGGTCCATCAGCTTGTTCCTCAGTCCTGTTGTCAGTGTGCATGACAGACGCCTCAGCTGCTAACCGAAGGGGGCTGAACTTCAGGCACTTTCACTCAACGGGACGCCCATTTCTCGATTGTAGCAGCTGCGTTTATCGCAAACAAAGCGTCTTAAGTTTAGAAGTAACATGTTTTAACGGGCGCTATTCGTCACTGATATATTGAGCAATCAAGCAAATACATTTATTTACAAATACATTTACAAGATATATTCTTTCTCCTTCTGTAAACTGCCAGAGCTTTGAGAGTTGACAATCTTGAAATGGCTCTGGTGCCGTCACCTTGTGTCCGCACGAGTGAAAGTCTTCGCCTGACCCCTTTAAAGACTTTGTGTGCAAACGCCCAAGCGCTTCCAACTCATCAGATCTGCTTCTCGTTTGCCTAAAACATTCAAAAATACCCTCTTTGTTTTAGTGGCATATATGAAAGCACATTTTACCGCGAGTCTCAAAGCCGTGCATTTTGCTGCTGTTTTCTCTGAGTTTGGTCTCTAACTGAAGATAAACGGTATCGACAAGAGGAAATGTTCAGAAACCAGCTTAGATTTCAGATGTGCAACTCTTTAAAGGACTGTGTTCTGGTATCAGATTGTTCTAATTTTAAGGAAATGTTATTTTAATTTTGTAGCTAATTGACAAGCCCCGTTGTAAATGCTCAGTACATGAAGTGAAACCACCAATAAATCAGATGGTACTTTACAAACGAGTCTGACATGAATAGCTTCTCCGCAGCATTGGGAAATTGATTAGTTTGCAATTTACCATCCTCTGACCGCTCATAAAAGATGAGTTATCAAGTCAACATTTAGGCAAAGTACTTCGTCATCGTTTGGTGTAAAAACTCCCAGACGCTGCCCAACAGAAGCAGTTTAATTTCTGTGAAAGAAAGTGGGTAAAAACTTTTTTTTTTTTTTTAAATAATTAATTTAGCTGCGTAATTTATAAAAAGTAAAGCGTCTGCTGTCATCTACTGGTGATGAAAATGTTTAATAAAAGAGCTAATTTTATTATTTTATCTTTTTATACTTTTTATTGTTGATAAAATGAGGTGATGGTTTTAAAAATATGTATTTTACTCGCCCCAAAGCAATTTGGGTTTGAGTACATAAACTGTATGAAGAAAACTGCTTGCAGCTTGAACTAGAGAAATAGCATTTCCTGCAAAAATGCAGTGTGAACGCTTATTGCAAAAGAGCAGTTGAAATTAGCTAAAAAAAAACAAACATGTTGAAATGTCTGAAATGGAAGAACAAGCCTAAGTTGGAAGAAGAAAGCATAAAGCACTCTAGTTTGCCCAGCTAGGCTGAAAGAAGCAGAAATGAGCACAAAAAGTGAAAATTATAAAAATAAAAAAAAAGCAGAAACTAGCAAAATAAACAGTTGAAAAGAAGCTTAAAAGGCAGAAAGAAGCTTAAATTACTAGAAGGAAGTGGAGAGAGCACATTTTGCTGAATTAGACTGAAAAAGTTGAAACGAGTGCAATAAATGTGGACTCACCTGAAAAAGCTAGAATTAGCACAGAAACAGCTAAATAGTAGCTGAAACTTGCAGAAATAAACTGAAATTAGCAGAAAGAAGTTAGAAGAAGCACAGAAATGTTGTGGTTAGCAGAAATAATCTGAAAGAATCACAAAACCGCAGAAAAAAACAGCTGACCTTAGCTGAAAGTAGCTAAAAAGTTTAAATTTGCACAAGGAAGCTGAAAAAAAGCTCAACTAGAACAAAATGTGAAAGGAGCAGTAAAAGGTTGTTAACAGATATAAATATTTGAAGGATGTAAATTTAGCTGTTGTTTTTCTATGAAGAAAAAGCTAAATATTTCAAAAAGATAAAGTTGCACCAAGACCAAAAGTCATAGCAGGATTGTCCTGAAAGCGCTGAACGTTGTTTAAAATCATTAACTGTCCCCAAGTAGATGCTGCGAATGTGAATTATCCAAGTTTAGGAGAATTAACGTTAACATCAAGCAGTGAAATGAGGTAGTGGAACAGAAACTGGATAAAATAAAGACATTTTCAGATGCCACTCAAAAAACGTGATTTTGTTAAAGTGAACGATCAAAAATTATTATATTCATTGCATAAAAAGGAACCTGAAAACACATTTTTATATTAATTTAATAACATTAGGTGTGCTAAATAAATCAAATGAGGCCTTTTAAAGGCAACAAGGAACACAGCCATAATAGAACCGTCTAAAACACAAAATATTAAAAGTTACATTCTTAGTGAAGTTGCACAGTGTGGAAACTGTAATTTTATGTTTTACCCACAATCAGATTTGACATTTTCTTTTAAATAAACAAACAGAAAAACAAGAACTAATACTGTTTTAATTGGTCTTTAGATCCTGAGAGTGAGCTCCGGTTTAACTTTAATCAATTCAGTTCAATTCAATTTATTTCTATAGCATCAAGTCACAACAGAAGTCGTCTCAGGGCACTGAACAGAAACATTCACTACATTAAAAAAGGCCAGTTAGTAAAAGTTCTCTAAGGAATCCAGCAGATTGTGCTGAATCTTCACTTCGTCCGTCGCAGTCTTCCATCCTGAGCAAGCACAAAGGCAACCGTGGAAAGGAAAAACTCCTTTTAACAGGAAGAAACCTCCAGCAGAACAAGACTCAGGATGAGCAGTCATCTGCTTTGACTGGCTGGGTTTGAGAGGACAGGAAGGAGAAACAAATAAACAAAGAATGGCAGGTCCAGATGTACTTTCTATAGGATGAAAGTAAAAAAAAAAACATGTTAAGTATATAAATCATTACAAACACAAACGGGTTGAGCAGAGCAAGTAAAGACAGCTGCAGAATGACGAAATGTGGTCAATTTGTCCTCTGGCAGTCTAAGAATATAGCAGTATAACTAAGGGATGGCTCAGGAAACCCAAGCCAACCCTAACTATAGGATTTATCAAAAAGGAAAATCTTAAAAAAACTGGACAATGTGTCGGCCTCACGAACAAACTGGAAGTTGGTTCCACAAGAGAGGAGCCTGACAACTGAAAGATCTTCCTCCCATTCTGCTTTTGGAAACTCTAGGAACCGCAAGTAAACCTGCAGTCTGAGAATGAAGTGCTCTGTTAAGAAAATATGGAACAATAATCAAAAAGCCACACACATCAGAGATTTGTCTGTGTGCAACTTCAACTGTAAAACAGTTTGTATGATTTAATAGATGTTTGTTCACTGCTCAGACGACACAATAATGTGCAGTTATCATTTACAACTTGATAAATGGCTGCGCCTCATTTAATGCAAACTAAAAACTTCCTCGGTTGTACTTTTAAAACTTTTAATAAAGACAACTTGTTTTAGCCATAAAATCTCCAAAATTATAAAACCCATAATGATATGTTGAGCTTCACTTTGGAGAAGAAAAAAATACATTTGATTCAATAGAACTGCAGGTTTCAGGAGCGTTCAGCTGTTTTTAAAACGAATCAGAAGATCCACATCATTCTGTACGAGAAACCGTTTCACTCGTGCGATCTTGAGACCGTTTAATCAAGGTCTGGTTGCAAGAACAAAGTCTTTTACTTTCACGTGTCAGTGTTTCTACTCATTTTATTGACCTAAAGGACATTTTACAAATGGGAGGATCATTTTTTTTAAAGTTTAATATAAAGCAAAGACTCGACTGCAGATTTGAGCTCATATCATGGACACCTTATCAAAGGTCAGGTCCTGGCACTGGTGGGTCCATACCTGTAAGGGCCTATCCATTTATCTCCCCTCATCTGTTCCTGCACACCCTTCCCATTTTACTTTTGATTAAACCCTCCATTTCCTTTTTTGTCTGTTGGACACGAGCCATCCAAGAGAGTTGATGACGCCAAGAGAGAATTAGCTGGGGGTCGAGTTCAGGAAACGTTTGGGAGGTCAGTTTTAAACATGACCTCACCTGCATCACAAACTAATGCTGTTGACTTTACAACACGGGATGGTCTGATAAAACTGCATTTTAAGTTGTTTTTGTTTGTTTTTTTTTTGATCTCCAGAACAAAAAATACAAATCAGACTGATGTATATTTAACTTTTACTCACATTCAGTTGTTTTCAAGGTAAATAATGACCAAACATACTTTAGTGTTTAACCAACACATGCTCTGCCCTTTTTATCCTGCTGCTAGAGGTTAGTTAAAAAGGTAGGTACTCGTTTGTTTTGTTTTAAACTTGGTGTAAAGATGCAACAAAAATCCCCTTTTTATTCTACTTTCCCTCCATATTTCCTCAGGTGTTTTGCTAACATGCGGTTTGCTGCAGTTATTCTTGTCTTTCACAAGAATGAGAACGTGTGGTATAAACATCTGGTTTGTGTTGCAAATATTTGTCCGGTCCCATTTTCTCCGTTTCCTGCTTGCACTTGGAGTGGAGGGCTGACCATAAAATACCTTTTATGTGATTTTTGAAGGTGCAGACTCTGTCATATAGGATATGGCCATCCAAAGAGTTTGAATAGAAGTTACCTGGACTTCCTTTCTTGTCTTGGAAGATGTTTCATCATGATCTGAAAGGCTTCTTCTCTTCTTATGAATCATGTGACTCCAGGGACCTTGTAGTGAGACCGTCCCAACAACTTCTGAAGTCTAAAACTCTCGGCCCATATTCAGAACGGAAGAGGCGTTTTGGATGACGGATAAAGCATCTTCAAGAAAAAAGTCTGGTTCTCCCAAGCGATCTTGGGATCCTTTGAGTTTCACCGATTTTATCTGAGCAAAGATAAAAAGTAAATCAGATTTAAGCCCAATCCCATATTTATGTCACCCCTAAATTTCTAGACCTGCTATGTCATAAGAGGTAGATGCTGAAATGTTCCACAATGAAAGGAGACGCCCATTCAAAGAGGGAAGGTGCAACTCAAACCCCTGGCTAAATACCGGTGATTGGGTCTTAATATCTGGCGCACAAGTGAAGTGGACGAGATTGGGTGATTCAAATGTTCTGAGGTGATGAATTTAATCTGTTGTCTTTTCATTTGTCAGGCGGGTCAGGGGGGTGGACACCGGACCCTGCTCTACGGTCACGCCATCCTCTTACGCCACTCCTTCAGTGGCATGGTGAGTATCTGTACCAGGACGATGATGAAAGAACAAACCGTGACAACAGTCTGATTACATCATTTCTTCTCGTTAGAAGTCGGGATGAAAACAAATAGTTTATTTTGGTTTAAAGTGAGATCCTGCGGAGTTAGGACGGCAAATATTTTACTTGTTAGCTATTTAAACCGAATTTAATTCTGACAGGACTGACGAGCCTAAGGGAGCTAAAGCCAAAGTGGGTGCTGGCATCTTAAAACACGTTTATTCTCAGAAGTCTCATAGTGGTTCATGTTGTGATGGGTGTGTGTGTGTGTGTGTGTGTGTGTGTGTGGGGTCATGTGTGGGGGGGGGGTGATTAGATGTTCAGAGTCAAGTTAAAATGAACAAACCCAAATAATTAAGGTTTTTGTCAGGACGATTTAGTTTTGTTTTAACACCAGTGCCTGGTAGTGACATGCCAAGTTGTTTCCTGATGGTGCTTTCTGCCATTGTACTTTATTTTGAAAGGATTACAAAGTAGAAACTATGGTCATGGGTGAGCCCAGCATTGCTGTAATAATTCTTGCATCATGATTTTGCTGGTGAAGATTCTCGGACATCCTGGTCTTGATTAATTAAAAAAAAAAAAGTTACAAAACAAAAACAACTGGACTTCTATTCTGAAGCGGGAGACGTTTCTTTTTCCGTCAGGGAGGCTTTATCAATTTTTAAATATCTGAAGTGTTTGGAGTGCCAAACTTTGTAAAACTGCATGAGAAGCATGGTTGTGTAGATAGACTGGAACTACTCACCCTGCACATTGGAGGCTCATCAGACTCTTCTTTAGTCTGGCTCGGAGACATGTTTGGTCACCTGCATGAAGGTGTGAATTGGACTGGAGCTGACCTGGATTCAGGTCTAAAGCTGCATTGTAATTTAATGAAAGTTGAAATCTGCGACCTCCTCCTCTGTTTAAAGTTTTTTTTCTTGTTTGGCATAAATGGCCTCCTTCACCCCCTCCATCTGTCTTCTCTGTCCAAAATATGAACATTTTGGGCCTCAAGAGTGTCCCAAATCCTTGAGGTGTAGGTGGACCGCTGAGTCTGGTCCTGAAGAGGTAGCTCTCTGGTGTCGAGTCATGCGTCTTTGGAGAGGTTGTTTAGTTTCTCCAGTCTAGAGGTCTGAACATTCCTCGCTGCACTGAACTATAGACACACCGCTCGTTTTGGGGGCTCCGTTTTTGGGATGGACCAGCCTCTGTCTGATGGTCCTGTTGGGTTTAGAATGTACTAGGAAGTTGTGTTTGTGCCTTTTTTGAAGGGGGTTCATCATTATTTTGCTTAAAATGTCCATCCCTTGTTCACCTGAATGCTACTTCATTGCTAGTTTGGTTGTTCTGGGAGAAATGTTGATGTTTCAGTCAGAAGAGCTACATAATGCAAAATCTATGGTGGTGTAAAGGTTTATAAAATATCATTCATGTAAACCACTATGAAGTTTTGGAGAGAGTTATTTTAAGATGACAGTAATCCACTTTGACACCACATTAAAGTGATTACTAGTTGATTTTCACCAATCACTAATTAATTAATACACTGATTATTCAGCACGTCGCCTCTCCTTCTAAACTATTAATATAAATATATTTTTTATCAAAGCTAATTATTTTTTATTTTGACCCAACACTAATTCCTTTTTTACTCACCAGTACTTGACCTGTTTGAAGACATCAAGGTCACTGACAGACAAGCTGTCATTTGATGTCGGACTACAAGAAGACTCGATAGGTACAGTATGACTAATGAGCACCGTGTTGAATTCCCCTCTTCCTTCCAGTTCCTTGAGCATAAATCAGCTCGACTCAACCTTGAGATTAAATCAAGAATTTTTAACTGCATATGGGCTGTGTGTACAGTAGAGCTTAATGTCAAACTACAACGCTTCTGAAACGGGATTTATCAAAGTACATATACTTTATCTTCAGTATTTCCCAGACGATGGATGATCGTTTAAAGAAGCAGAAAAATATGTACTGCATTTTACGCCGCATAAGTCGCATCAGTCCAAAAATGTCTTATAAGTGGAAAAAACATAAATAAGTCGCTTTGCCGTATAAGTTGCATCTATTATGCGTCACCACTGATGCATTGTGTTTATGCGTCACAGCTGACCACCCAGAAACTTGGGCCGGTGTTGTGCCAAAAATCGATTGGCTGCCAAATTGGCAGCTGCTGGAGCGCGCAGAGGGAGGACTCGCTGTGCATTTCTTCGAAATTTAACAAGATATCCACCTAAAACAATTGTTTGTTTGCTCGACATTATAGTAAAGGTGTGTCTCGGTTGAACTTTCCCTTAATTAAAGGACTTTAATAGTCAAATCGGCTGTATTTCGCTAGGTCAGTGTGGCAAAATGCAGCTGATTTGACGTTTGCTCCAGTAGTTCCGGAGCAAGACGAAGGTGGACCTCTATGGCAAGCCAAGTGTCTCGTTAATAGCCACTTTTATCTATTAACGAGACACTTGGCTTGCCACAATGCTTGAGGGCCCTCTAGCGGCTGCAAATGGTAATTTTTAATATTTTTCATGCCAGAATGAATGAAATCGTCAGATCTCAGCCAAAAATTGGGTTATAAATATGGTGGGAAAAAACATTACATTCACAACTTTACATTAGTCACAGTATTTGCTAATTTATGCAAAAAAGGTGCGACTTATACGGCGAAAAATACGGTAACCTACAAAGAACCCTACTTTTGTTATAGCAGCATCTGTTTGCCTGCATTTGTTTATAGACTTGCTCATCTTTTACGTTTATTTGTGTCTACAGGAGAGTCCTGCTGGTGGACGATTCACCCTGCGTCCAAGCAGCGGTCCGAAGGAGAGAAAGTTCGTATTGGAGACGATCTGATTCTTGTTAGCGTGTCGACTGAGAGATACCTGGCAAGTCGCACAACTACACAAAACACAAAAATGATCAAGCTGTATTGAAGTGCTTGACAGTTTAGGGCAAAAGTGCTGCTCCGGTTTAAAACTCTGTTCTGGACACATTACAATACTATGCATTGTGTTACCTTTGTGTAATCCTGTTTAGTGGTTTTGATCTTTGGGTTCCTTGAAGGGCTTTCATTGTTTAGATTTTTACTCACTTTGGCTGCTTTATCTCTTCTTTTGTCCATTTCTTGTACCTCAAGTCAGAATTCGACAAGTAAAGGACATTTGTACTAGTTTTGGGCCTAAAAACTTCAACAAATAACCAGTTTCTAGCAGGTCTTTAACAAATGTGTCCCTACTTTTTTTAAAAACACCTGACGCAGGATCTGAGAGGTGTTTGAACTTTTTGTTGATCGTCTGCTTTAGTGCAAGTTAGCTAGTACTCTTTGTGAATCAGCGTGTTCATCAACTGTGTTATGTTTCAAAGATTCAACCAAAGAAATTGGGACAAATTGTGCCTTTACAGGAGATTTTTGTTAACAAAGTGCCCCAAAGATTCAATGTAATACTGGTTGCTAATTAGAGTTGCATTCTGGGCCAAGAAATCCGACCCAACCCCAGCCCGTAGCCATCATTTTCAAACCTGACCTGACACAATGAATTAACAGTAATTACAGGTCCGAACCCGAAACCCTACCTGACATTTTTAATTAACGGTCATCAGACGCGTGCGGCTAAGTAAAAAGTGGGCAGAAGATCAGAGCTGAGGGGATGTTTGTCCTTTCATGGGCGTCAAAAAGCATTCAATCCCACACATACGGACCCTGCTCAGACGTGTCTGCGAGGATATTTTGGGATCTCATCTGTTTTGGTCGTTGTCCGCACGCGTCCGCTGAGTGCAACGGCTAAACGTCCATTTGGGCCTTGATGGATCGCTGCCTGGTAGTCCCATCTGAAGCTTAACTGAACTTTTTTTATTTTTTTCCTCTTTCAAGGCCGGTCAGCGCGCGGTCAAATGGTCGCGTGTGGCTTGTAATGGTACGGCAAGCCATGTTGCAGTATAATTGGATCGTCAGCCACGCTCATCTGCTGACGCAATCAAAAGCCCGACGCTGACCCAGCCCGCCCATCCAGCACATTATTATGGCCTCAAATTTGGGCCGGGCTTCGGGCCCAGTTAGAAATAAAAGCTCTATTGCTAATGTGTTCACTGGTTCACCAATTAAGTGAGGCGGCCTTTCTATTGGTCAGACTTAAGAAAAACTGGTTTAAGAAAAAACTTTGTTGGAAAATGGCCAAGTACTGGACTTAGTGGAAAATAATGGCCCTGTAGAGGTTTAATATGAGCTAATGTAGCATTCTTAAACACCATTATACCCTTTCTGAATTAGTCTTTAAGTCAACATAGCTAACACCCTCATTTGATTATTAGTCTAGCCTGGAGGAAGATTTCTGTCCTTTTTTATTCATACAAAAATTTATATTTATTTGACAAAATGTCACTTTAAAAATGACCAAACCCTCCCATTAATAATGATGTTAAAAGTTCTAAAATGATCAAATCAACTTTTAATTATTTGAGATAAGAAGGCTTTCCTGTGTTTTTCTGAAAGTTTTTACATAATTTTCTGCCCCCTCTGATTGTTTTAGTTGAGATGTAAATAGCCAGCAGCTTCAGTTTGTTGTCCATTTTTAAGAATATTCATAGCCATCTCACTCGAGCCAACCTCAGAGTGGTGAGGGAATTTATTCTGAAAACAGGAAGACTTCCACCTTTGCCTGTAATTTAAATCTGATTACCTGTAAAAGACTTAAAGGCATGTTAAAATACATTTTTCATGGGACTCATTCATCTTTGTAATGAGCATAAAGTTAATGGCGTCGCCCATATGCAGAGCTACACGCTCGACCTCAATTAACTTACTTGGTAAAGAAGATGGGAGTTAAAAGAGAGGGAGGCAGAGAGAGGAATGATTTTGACGTGCCAGGCATATGTAAGTTTGTAGCAACGTTTTTTAGAAGCTGCTCCTCCAGGGAGGGAAATATGCAATTTAATCAAAACTGGACAAGTGCCAAGCTTTTCCTCCAAAAATACACTTATTGAGGAAGATAGAAACTAATCATTTTACAAGTGAGGCAACAGAAAATCTGACCAAAGCAATCAGTGCTCCATTATTAGGAACAACTGAAGATGTGTCTCTGTTGAATTCATCTGGATATAGTAGGCTCTCCTCTTTGCTCTGCAGCCAGGGCTAATGTGCTTATTCTCCATTGTAATGATAATGATAATCATTATTCATATGGGGAGGAGCAGGGACGATTCTAGAATCTGACCTTTAGGGACGCTTGGATGAAGTATATGTCATTTCCTGCATTCTGGTGTATTTTAACAGGAAGTTAAATGTCTGTTTACCTACATGAGTAAAAACTTGATTCAATAACTATTTTAGAAAGCATGCCACAACAAGAAGTAGCCTGTCCAACAGTTCTCCTTGTTTGGACAGAGAACACTCTGCTTCTCTAACGCATCCTACCCACTAAGGGGCGTTTCACTTCAGGACAAATTGAGATCACCAATTGGTCAATTGCTGACGAGCCTACTGGACTGATAGGCAGGTGGCATTGAGGATCTGATTTGTGCCCAAAAAATGATAGGTTTTATGGTCCATTTAAATGTCATCATTTATTCCATATTTATTCCAAATTTAGTCTATTTTAGTGAATTTAAGGTTTGAGAACAGTTTCCTTACAAAATCTTAATGTATTTTCTCTTGCAGCATCTCTCCATTTCTATCAGCAACATCCAGGTGGATGCCTCCTTCATGCAGACTCTGTGGAACGTGCAGCCGACCTGCTCATCCAGCAACATGGCCGTAGGTGAGCTCTGTAACCCTGCAAATAACGGCAAACACCGGATTATACAAATATTTTATCGTGACATTTCATTTCATCCTTAAAAAAAAAAAAAAGAAAAAGACAACTCAGAATGGTCTATATAATAGCTTCAAATGGACATGTGATTATAAATTCTCCTATATGACAGTTTTTTTATTCTAAAGGTATAAACCAAAATAATAAGCTATATATTGTTTGTCTTTTAGGGTATTTGATCGGTGGGCATGTAATGCGTCTGTGTCACGGTCATGATGAGAGTCTGACCATTCCTGGAGCTGACAGGAGTGAAGAAGAGCAAAGGTCAGAAATAAACTAATAAACTGTCTCTTGCCTTCTAGTCATTTTTGACAGGCAGAAATACTTGTTTGTTGGCCTAAAGTACTCAGTTTATTTTTTTTTTTTTACAAAACTTTCAAAAGCATAGTTTAAAATTTTAATTAGTGCTGTACTCTAATGCAACAAATCACCAAGGAGCTGTTTGATTAAGGATGGTCAAAGCTTTTGAGGGACGATTTCACTTTTACAGTTGAAACGCCTATTTTGGACCAAAATAAGGACGGAAATAAAGTAATAATAGAAACAGAGGTAGTTATCTTAACACCGATTTTCTGTGTAGAGTTGCTTACAAAATAATTTCTATGATGTAACAGTTTAAATAATAAATGCACTTTCTTGTGTCTTTGTGCTCACAGAATAGTGAATTATGAGGCAGGAAAGGGAGCTTCAAAAGCCCGCTCACTGTGGAGACTGGAGCCTCTTCGGGTCAGGTAAAGTGAAATGGACACACTAAATTAAAGCACGGTATCAAACATCTGCTTGAAATACACTTCATAGGAATCGTCATAAAATATACACAGAACTGGTTAATTTTTTTCTTAGATTCTACTGAAGATGAGGTGTTGACTGTTCTACTAGTTTTATTGTGAATGTTTATGACGCAGTCACACGATTGTGATCCATTTTTCTTCCGTACGTTATTCGGTGCGATTCTCATCCCGCAGTTTTCAAGCTATTTCAACAATATATATGTCACATATCAAAACGTTCAGCTCTTTCAGGACAATCCTGCTTTGACTTTTGGTATTGGTGCAACTTTAGCTTTTGGAAATATTTAGACTTTTTTCCTCTTAGAAAATGAAATGAGCTCATTTTACATTCTTGAAATCTTTAGATCTGTTTACATCCTTTTACTGCTCCTTTCACATTTTGTTCTGCTTCAGCTTCTTTCAGCTTCCTTGTGCAAATTTAAACTTTTTTCCAGCTAATTTCAGCAGTTTTTTTTCAGCTGTTTTGTGCTCCTTCTTTCTGCTAATTAAAATATTTTTGTGCTGCTTCTAACTTCTTTCTGCTCCTTTCAGCTTATTTCTGCAAGTTTCATCTTTTTCTACTATTTCAGCTACTATTCAGCTGTTTTTCTGCTAATGTAAGCTCTTTTTTTTAAGCTCATTCCACATTTTTTGCACTCATTTACCAGTAATTCTTTTCAGTCCAATTCAGCAAAAAATGTGCTCTCTCCACTTTCTTTTTGTAATTTCAGCTTATTTCTGCCTTTTTGGCTACTTTTCAACAATTTTTGGGGTAATTTCGGCTATTTTTCCAGATAATTTCCATTTTTTTGTGCTCATTTCTGCTTCTTTCAGCCTAATTGGGCAAACGTGTTCTTTCTGCTATTTTATTCTAATTTAAGCTTTTCTACCTTTTCAACTATTTTAGCATTGTTTAGCAAATTTAAACCGTTTTCAGATAAATTCAAATTTTTTTGTGGCAGTTTCTACTACTTTCAGGCTAATTAACTTCTTTATGCTAATTTCCGCTTATGCTTGTTTCAGCTTTTTTCTGCTAGTTTCTGCTATTTCAGCTAATATTTAGCTGTTTTATGCTAAATTTAGCTTTTTCATCTAATTCCACTTTTTTTTTTACTCGTATCAGCTCTTTCTGCTTCATTCTGGTAGTTTAAGCTTCTTTCTGCCTTTTCAGCTTCTTTTCAGCTATTTTAGCCAATTTCAGCTTTTTTGAGTTAATTTATTATTTTTTGTGTTAATTTCTACTTATTTAAACGTAATTCAGCAAAAAAGAAAAATCTGCTTTCGTTTCAGCTACATTTCTGTATGTTTTTTGTTGTTTTTTGCCAATTTCAGCTGTTTTTCATCAAGTTCTTCTGCAATAAGTATTCACACTGCATTTTCGCTGGAAATGCACTTTAGTTCATATCCTACCAGCCTCCATGTTGTTTTTAATGCCCTTGAATAACTGGCCCTACTTTCCTTCCAGTCACTCAGCCAACTCTTATTTGGATTTTGAATAAATTCAGTGGTCCTTTGTGTTCATCTTTACCTAATGAATAGTAACTGGTTGTCTTCGTGAGTCCCTTTGATAGATTACAATGTGTTCTGGGTGGATTTAAAACCAGCTAAATGAAGTGAAGTCTAATCATCAAAACAGTAAACTGAGCATAAAAACAAAGTTCAGAAACTGTTTTTGACGTTAAGTTTCTGTGTTTAGCTGGAGCGGGAGCCATATTCGATGGGGCCAGCCTTTCCGTCTACGTCATCTCTCCACTGGTCGTTATCTGGCGTTGACTGAAGACCGCGGCCTGGTCCTGGAGGACAGAGAGAAGTCCGACACCAAGGCCACTGCTTTCTGCTTTAAGCCATCTAAGGTCAACACTCTCATTTATTTACTTTTTTTGCCTTTTTATAGCTTCCCATAACGCTGCTGTCAATAACTGCTCTTTGCTATTTGTCTCTTTAAAAGGGTAATACAAATATCTTCTAATAACTCTTTATCAAATACTCCCAGGCGTGCCCGTTAGCTGTTAATGAGCTCAAGCCTCACCACGATAATTTGACCTTTTCACTGTTGCTGAGTAGACAGAGCCATAAATGTTGGAGCAAACAATGTCTTAGTCCAAGATAATTACATCCCCATACTTAAACCACTTTCAGCAAAGAGATGCAATTTATCTTCCTGTCTGAAATGTTAAAAATTATTTTTGATGCATTCAGGTTTCTTTTATTAGGTTGGCACATATTTTTAGTTCACTTTCATCTTAGTTAATTTATTTAGTGTCCATTCTACGGTGGCCCTAAGGTGTAAATGAACAACATTTGAAAAACAACACAATAACATTTGAAAAAACTCAATTATATTTTGAAAAAACAGAAGCACATTTGAAAAAAAAAAACACATTTGAAAAATACAGAATTGCATTTGAAAAAACAGAACTACATTAAGTCAAACTGGAAGTGGTGTTTTTTCTTTTTTTGTGTCTTTTTTAAACTTTATTAACAACAGAACAGAACAACAGAACAATGTACAGTACACGTGCAACGGAGGTACAGCTAGCCTTTAGCCTGTAGAAATGGAGAACTATGTTTTGTTCAAGCTCTAACCCTAACCATCATCCTGCCAAGTTTTTCCAGCGTCATATCTTCTTCTTTAAGCTTGAACAAAACATAGCTCTCCATTTCTACAGGCTAAAGGCTAGCATGCTAACTGCACCTCCGTTGTTTGTGTACTGCACATTGTTTTGTTCTGTTTTATGTTGTTAATAAAGTAAAAAAAAAAAACCCACAGCTTCCAGTTTGGCTTAATGTAATTCTGTTTTTTCAAATGTAATTCCGTTTTTTTCAAATGATGTGTTTTTGTTGTGTTTTTTCAAATGTAATTCTGTTTTTTCATATGTTGTTCATTTACACCTTAGGGCCACCGTACCATTCACTGCAAAAATCATCTCAGGATGCTATAGAAGAAACAAAACCAAAATAAAATAAAAAATCAAGTCCAAACCATAAATCCACTTAAGATCCAGATTAAAATACAACTCAAGTCAATACGATACATTCACGTCCAGCACATTAATGAAATGCCCGTTATTTAATGGTGCCCATCTAAAGAAGCTCGCAGTTTGGATCAAATATTCAATTTTCTACAATCCCTCATTTTGAGCTGCACATTAGTGACGGTGAAAAGGAATGACTGACTTTGTGATGAAAAGACTGAAAAGTGGTGAAATTCTGCTCAGTTATAACCGATGTACTTGGAAATCTTTCAAAGTCATCAAAGTACTTTGGTTAAACTGCACTTTTTATTTATTTTATGTCCCTTTGTGATAACCGGTTTGTTTCGGTGCCTTGTTGTTATCCAGTGTTGAATCTCCCATAAATTGATACAAAAAGTCACCTTTATGTATGGACTATTTTCTCTGTATGTATATCTTTTTATCTGAAGTTTGCACAGCCTTCCTGACTTATTATCCTCCTGACAATAAAACCCCAAAGTGCTTCCACAGTGGCCTTGAGGATTTACCGAGGCTTTGTAAAATTGTAAACTCTTTATTTACTCTAGTTTTCACCGATCTCTTCGTCTTCTAACTACATCAGTTTGCACATCCAGGTCAGCTTCTCACCATGTTGAACGTTGTCATTAATATGTTCCTCCCTGCTCGCTGTCGGCCCACGTCAATTGGATCGCTTCATCTCTGCATGAATATTCACAGTGCTGAGGAGGCCAGCACCAACCTGCCTCACTGATTACCGTCTAATGTTGATTTATCTTGATCTTCATTAAATATCTTGTCACATTTCCATCCCTGTGTGTATATGGATTGTGTTAATGTGGTTCCTTTTTAATTTGAATACGACAGGAAAAGGGTGACTCTGGCCTAAAGAGGGACATCGATGGGATGGGAGCCCCAGAGATCAAGTACGGAGACTCCGTCTGCTTTGTCATGCATGTGGCAACTGGGCTGTGGCTTTCTTATCTGGCGCCTGATGCCAAATCATCTCGCCTCGGTCCCCTGAAAAGAAGGGTAAGTATGTCCTGATGCATGCTCAATAATCCAGATAGATACATCTAACAAGGTTAAGTCAGGTCCTCTGGACGGATTCTTCTTGTTGAAATATTTCGTCTTTCTTCAGTCATGAACTGAAGTACTGAAGAAGTCTTTTAGATAAAAGACAACATATTTCAACAAGAAGAATCTGTCCAGAGGACCTGATTTAACCTTGTTAGAAGGGTAAATGTGATCTTTACACACACCAGAGGAAACGTATCTTTGGTGTTCGGAAACCTGCACATCAAATCAATGCATACGCATGCAAGAGAGATTCATTTTCAGAAGTATTCATTCATTCACAATGCAGAGAACATCGTTGAACAGATGGGCCTAAATTAAACTGGAGTGGGACATCCGTTTTATTTAGTTGCAAATTCTCAATTGGCAAAAAGTCTGTATTTCACCAGCAGCACCAGTGTGTTGTGGTTTTCTTTTCTGGAGCTTTTTCCAAACTTTAACCACAGTCTATTTTAGTTGTTTTGGGTGGATGTTTTCCTTCTGTCCTCTCCTTACCAGGTAAAATTCATGTATAAGGATTGACAGTAAAACCTTCCACTTCCTATTCCTAATCAGGTCCTTGTTTGTTTTTGTCATTTTTAGGACAGCATCAACGACCTATTAGTCATAAATAACAATAAATAGACTTGTAAAAAGCTTCATTGTCTCATCTCTTCATGCCTTTGATGTTCAGCTCAGTGTAACGCAATTTCAATTTCTATGTATGTCCTGTACATATGCAGAATTGACAATAAAATCAATCAATCAATCAAGATGATTTATAGCAAAAAAACAATCATTGTCTTGACTGTGCCTTTAGTTTTGTAATGATCTTGTAGTCCTCTGACTAAATGTCCTAAGCTATTTACCTAAAGAGGCAACTGCAATCAGTTTAAGTACCAGTCCAATCAGGCAGATTTTTTCCTCCACTTGAAAACATTGTCTCTCCTGGAAGTGCTTTATTTAAACCCCCCACAGACCCACCATACGGTAGCATATGGTAATCACCTTGGTGTGTGTTTTAGAGTATGGGTGACCGTTAGTTTTGGATGAGATGGGGGGACTACAGTGGCACATGAAGGTTGCTCATCACTGGGCCTTTCTCCAGAGATGCCACCTCGTGATGGTGTCATGCCATCCTGCTTGGCAGCAGACCAGTCCACCTGACCTGTTGGAGGTGATGGTCAGTGTTTATTTAAATCCTTCTGCCTCACTCACTGCTCTGGTTTAAGCTGTTTCAGTGAGTCAGTGTGGGCTTTTACTAGATGAAAGACACTTAAAAAAACATTGCAATTTCTGTGTAGTTTGTGGATCAAAAAATAAAAATATATCAAAGTCTTTAGAAATATGATTCAACAAACTGACTCTATTGCTATTGCTTTATGTAGATCCTATTTTAACAACTGGAGAATTATTATGTCTGTGTCTGTCCTGGTGCAGGCCTGCCTTCACTCTGAGGGCCACATGGATGATGGCCTCATCCTCCAGCGCTGCCAGCATGAAGAGTCTCGAGCTGCTCGCATCATCCGAAACACCACATTCCTCTTCAAAAACTTCATCAAGTAAGACCGAGACATATTCACACATAATTCCTCTCCATAACAAAACTGTCGTAAACGTAGAATCTGTTTTGAGTTTTAAGTCTTGATTCTTGACCCTCAGAGCTTTGGACAGCGCCGCAGAGGGTGAAAGCAACGCGGTGGCCGGGTACGTGGAAGAGGTGCTGCAGACCCTGAACGATCTGATCGAGTACTTCAAGCAGCCCGACTCTGAGCTCGAGCACGAGGAGAAACAGTGTCTGCTCCGTTCGCTCATCAAACGTCAAGACCTCTTCAAGGAGGAGGTGAGAGCGGTCGGAAGAGAGTCAAAAACCTCAGAGCAAAAAAATCGCTAAGCTCCAACTGTGAGCACGTATGACAGGTTGTTGAGGGAGGTGGTGTGGTATTGCATGAGTAAATTTGGAGTGGCAGAAAAGTATGTTAGACTGGTACAGGACATGTATGAGGACAGCAGGACAGTGGTGAGATGTGCTGTAGGAGTGTGATAGCTTCAAGGTAGAGGTGGGAGTGCATCAAGGATCAGCTCTGAGCCCCTTCTTGTTTGCTCTGCTGATGTACTGACTAACAGATGAGGTCAGGCAGGAATCCCCATGGACTATGATGTTTGCAGATGACATTGTGATCTGTGGTGGGAACAGGTGGAAGAGAACTTGACGAGGTGGAGGTATGCACTTGAAAGAAGAGGAATGAAAGTCAGTCATAGTAAGACAGAGTACATGTGACATGTGCGTGAATGAGAGGGAGGCAGGTGGGAACAGTGAGGCTACAAGGAGCAGAGGTCACAAAGGTGCAGGACTTCAAGTACTTGGGGTCCACTGTCCAGGAAAATGGGGAGTGTGGTAAAGAGGTGAAAAAGAGAGTCCAGGCAGGATGGAGCGGATGGAGAAAAGGTTACAGGACAGTGGTAAGACCAGTTATGTTGTATGGTCTGGAGACAGTGGCATTGACAAAAAGACAGGAGAAAGAACTGGAAGTGGCAGAAATGAAGGTGTTGAGGTTCTTCTTAGGAGTGACAAGGATGGATAAGATTAGGAATGAGATCATCAGAGGTACAGCCCAGGTTGAACATCTAGGAGATAAAGTTAGAGAGGACACACTGAGATGGTTTGGACATGTCCAGAGAAGGGACAGTGGGTATATTGGTAGAAGGATATTATAACTGCAGCTGCCAGGAAAAAGACAAAGAGGAGATACAGATGGATGCAGTTAGAGAGGACATGGAGGTAGATGGAGTGAGGACAGAGGATGCAGAGGACAGAGTGAGATGGAGGAGGACGACTCGCTGTGACCACCCCTGAAGAGGGAAAATCTAAAATATTAACAAGCTTTTGACTCTGATTTTGCTGGCTTTATCTTTTGGCTACTGTTTAGATCATTTTGTCTTTCAAATACAGACTTTTTTGATTTTGAACCAGTTTGACATGACTGTCGACAAGGAAGAGGACCACATTTATTTACATTACATTAAATTTATTTACAAATTGTTGGAACTACAGTTCTTGTTTTAGCTGTCCACTGTTCTTCTGTTTCTTTTTCATTCAGTTTTAACTTCAAATCCAACAAGGTTCATCAGTCATTCCACACTTTTATGTTTCACTCCATTTGTCACAGAAAATACAAATTTTTTCCAAAGCACATTTGCCTTTTAACAAATAAATATTTTAATAATTCATACAATATAAAGAGTTGTGAAATTATACAACTTTATATTTTTCACTCTTTGAGAGGCTTAAAAACAATACATTTTATATAAGCAAAATCAGAAATATGTGTTAAATCTAGTTCAGTAAATCTTTTATTAATCTGGGTGACATTATACTGAACTTATTAACATGCAGCCAGACATTAACATGCAGTGCATTTATATTTTGTCAGGGCATGCTGAGCCTCCTGTCCATTTGCATCGACCGGATGAACCTGTACAACAGTGCAGCCCATTTTGGAGAGATGGCCGGGGAGGAAGCTGGTGCAGCGTGGAAGGACATTCTCAACCTCCTTTATGAACTCTTGGGTGAGTGATGACACATAAAATACTGTCTGTCAGCAGCTGTTCAGTCTGAGTAGACGCACAGTATTAATCTTCCCTCAGTTTCCTCAGTTTTTTTTATTTTTATATTTGTCTTTTACCCTCGTTCTATCTGCAGTTTTTCCTTAATTCCAGCCTGCTCGTGCTTTCTACACACAGTGTTTAAAGTTCTTCGATTAATCACAGGTTTTCATATTTATTTGGGACAAAAGTTTTCTCCTTTTTAAAGGTGGCTCCATTAACAGGCACATATTGGGTCATAAATTCTCAATCTTTAGAAAAGTTGTACTTTAAACCTTCTTCAGGGGTGATTTGTTTTCCTGACATCAGTTGGTCCCCGTCAACAGCTTCCCCTCAGCTCACCTTGAGTACTCCTAAATTAATTATCCTGCATGCACAAGCAACACATGGACACAGGAGTGAATCCCCCCCCCAACAGCGAGGTTACACCAAGGATGCAGACTGGGGTCATCTAAGGAAGCGGGTTTTGGATGATGAATTGTTCAGGGTCATTATTTGTTCAGTAATGCTGTTAGCATGAGAACACAAACACATCCACTGTAAGACATTTTTGTTTCCAAACAGTAAATCTGGTTAGAAAATATAAAAGAACATTACAAGAACACTATATATATATATATATATATATATTCATTCTAACCTACCATTAGAATACTATAAAGAATTCTGATTTAATTCATTTTTTATCTTTGAAGCAGCAGTTTAGAAAACGGTTTCACCATAATTTTACTTTAAATGATGCCATACAAGTTTACCTCTACTGCAGATTTGTGAGACTTTGCATTTCATCTTCATTTAATAATTTGTAATGTCGTGCATATAAATACTGTTGTCTGAAGAAAAGCAACATGAAGTATCAGATATGACGCCCCTGTGTGTTTCGGCTGAAGACATCTCAAATCACTAATAGTGTGAATTACTGCAAGATTCGGTATTGATTCAACACCAGTTAAATAAAGGCCAGTATTGCAGATACCAATAATGATACCGATACTTTAATAATTAAAGTGGCTGCATCATCATATTGCTAAATCTGAATGACATTTTACAAGTTTTGTTATTTTTCCATTAGGTTCTTAATTAATTAAAATCCATGACAGACTCTGGGCAAAGTTTATAGGTAAATGGAGAATACTTGCTGTTGGATCATTTTGGAATTGAAAATGCAACACGCCACTTTCAACCAGCAGGCAGCAGTGATCGACACTAACAAAAGCAGTTAAGCTAATTCTGAGAAGCCTTGCAAGAAACAGAGCTAACTAGTAACTGCTGGCCAGCCTGACTCAAAAGAGGTGTTCTTGGTGTGAAGACTGTAAGAACTGAGGGACGATGGACATAAGTAAACTTTATTTATATAGCACCTTTCATAGATAAAATCACAAAGTGCTTTACAGAAATACAAACACATTATTAAAGCTACTGATAATCTTTCCAATGAGGCTGTTGTGTAAAAAGAACAAAATGGGACTTAAGACTGAACCCTGGGGAGCACCATACAATAATGGAGTGATCTTAGACAGTATGTTATTTGCAGACATGGAAAAAGTGCCAAATAGTGCCTGCGGGGCCTGTTATCACATCATTTGCCACATGATGTCTTCAGCCAGAACATGGGGACACGTGAGATCCCTTACTTCATGTGTGGTACAGATTGAATCAACTGAAGGGAGCTTTGTTTTATAGAGCTTTGTTTTATACCAAACATTCTTTAATTTATTGTAGCTTGAACAGTTTCTTCTATGCTGATAAAATCAGTATTTGTAGGCTGTAGCCTGTGTGGCACCAGATTCCTTCTTATATTGATATTTTCACATTTACATTGAACCTTTTTGCCCTTGGTCCACCTGCTCACCTCTGTTCATGTGTTCATATTGAATTATGGGTTTCCTGATAAGGCAGTGTGATGAGCTTAGACACCCATCAGTAACGCGCTTTGACACAAAGGGCTGTTTAATGGATTCATGGACATTCAGTCAGTCGAGTGTCCCTGACACAAAATGGTACAAAATGAGACGGTAAAGTAATGAGACGGCTTAATGTCTGTGCAGAGGCAGGGAAAGAGCTAAAAGGGAACAGAAATCAACTTTTTTCTGAATTCAGAGCTTGTAGCTTCCAGTTGACTTTACAGTTTTTCCACGTGTCTGTATCAGGTATCACTTGAACTGTAATACATATATTACATGTATATATTGTAATACATTGAATTAATACATTGAATGCATGAATTGTAATACATATATTTTCAATATGACCTAAATGGACATTCAGGAACATTATTATCTTTAGTGTATTTTAATTCAACTTTGTGAATGTTATCATTTTTTCTTCAGCTGCTCTGATTCGTGGAAACAGGAACAACTGCACCCAGTTCTCCCGGAAATTGGACTGGCTGGTCAACAAACTGGAGAGGCTGGAATCATCATCGGGTATCATCTGAAGCAATTTTACTTCCTGTCGCCTCAAAAGAAAAAACTGGAACAAACGCATATTATTTCACCGTGGGTGTTAAAATGTGATTTGTTTCTAATAATTTTGTTCTGCAGGAATCCTGGAAGTCCTCCACTGCATCTTGGTAGAAAGCCCGGAGGCTCTGAACATCATTCAGAGAGGACATATTAAATCCATCATCTCTCTGCTCTACAAGCACGGCCGCAACCACAAGGTCGGCAGAAACTTGAAATATAGAATAATTTGTATATATGTTTAATAGTGAAAAGATTTTGTGCGAGTCGTTTTTACCTTCATTAGACGTGATGTCATGATTAATTAAATTGTGGTTGTGCAAATGTGGCTAAAGTGTTGTGTGAATGTACCCAGTTCGACTGATCAGTTTCCAAGTACTGCTTAACTAAAAACGGCAAATATGATCAAAATAATTTATTAATGTGTTGCATGGAGTTAAAATCTTTAACAGTAGCTATTGCATTTTAGCCAAGACTCTTGTCCCTGCAGTACACGTTTCGGTGACCTACAGTACCTAATACTTGAAACATTTGAACTTAAGGCAAAATTTACAAAAATCTGTTTGTATGGTATCGATTGTTAAACAAAAGTTGAGGCGACAAAGCAGATTCGGTAATTACCATGCCAGCCTTGTGTTTTACATGCAGTGTTTAAATGTCACAGGCTTCTAATATTTACACTATAAATAAAACTTGTATTTTAAGGCCCTTTGGGCAGTGGTTGAGAGCAGTGCAGTTTACAGCAACTTTAACTGACTTTAATATTGCTCACTGCAAGAAGCGAGGTCTAAAACTCCTCCACTTTAACAACCTGATTGAAGATGGCTGCCACAGTTAATTGACCTTATCAAACACAATCACGGCTGTTAGTTACTTAGTTTACAGATACTGAGATGAAATTCGGCGTCAAAGTAGCTGAGAGTGATCCCCAACACACATGCTGGGTACAAACAGACCACGTGAGAATTCTGCTTAAAACAGGCATGTAAGGCAGAGGGTGATTTGCATTCTTTCAGGCAAGGCTGTTTTAATTTCAAATGATTTAATAGAAGAATAAGTTGTACAGATTCAGATCTGAGTGTGTGAGAATGAGGTTAATTCACAAAGAACCATTTTGTTTCACTATATTTTTAGATTCTGGATGTCCTGTGTTCTCTCTGTGTTTGCAATGGCGTGGCAGTGAGAACCAATCAGAACCTGATCTGCGACAACCTTCTTCCTAAGAGGGACCTGCTGCTTCAGACCCGACTGGTTAATGATGTTCAAAGGTAAAAAGCTCAAAGTGGCTGGTAGAACTATGTAAGAGTTGGTTTTTCCTGCTTTTAACCTAAAATATATAGTGTTAAAAATCAGTATCTTATATCAAAGTATTCTTGAATGAAGTGTGTGTTTTCTTTGGGGAGATAAAATGAGCCATCTTCTGTTTAGCAGAGTATTGGTTCTGTAAGATGCACTTTTTGTCATCTCCAGTATGAGACCCAACATTTTCCTGGGCATCGCTGAAGGTTCAGCTCAATATAAGAAGTGGTACTTCGAGCTGGTCATCGATCAGGTGGACCACTTTGTGACTGGCGAGCCGACTCACCTGCGTGTAGGCTGGGCCAACACTAAAGGCTACGCTCCGTACCCTGGTGGAGGAGAGGGGTGGGGAGGCAACGGCGTGGGTGATGACCTGTACTCCTACAGCTTTGATGGACTTCATCTCTGGTCAGGTTGGTGCCTTTTTGAGACATTTGAATTTTAAAACGTACCAATGTAGTGACAGTTGGATGGTCTGGTTTTTCTGTTTTAGTAAAAAAAACAAAAGATATTTCTAATGTTTGTAAAATTGAGCTGGTGGAAAACAGCGGTTCTGGTTTATTGCACCATATCCCACTGAACATGAGCTCAGTAAATCTATAAATAAAAAAGGAAAGAAGAAGTAAAATAACAAGTCAAGATGTATGAGGGTGCAAGGCCATTTATGCACTTAAATGTCAACAGGATAATTTTAAAATCAATTTTGACACGTCCAGGGAGCCAGTGAATGGAGGACAAAACTGGTGAAATATGCTCAAACCTACAGTACGAGTTCCTGTTAATAGCCAAGTTGCAGCATTTTGGTCGAGCTGAAGACGTGAGGGACACCTGACTGAGCCCAACATAAAGCGCGTTGCAGTAGTCTAGAGGGTTGTAGCAAATGCATGGACTATTTTTTTTTCAAGGTCAGATCTGGTCAACACGGATTAAGCTTGGTTATCTGCCTTAACTGAAAGAAGCTTTTTTTGTAGAACGGAGTTAATCTGTTTATTAAACTTAAAGACAAAGTCCAATAATGGTCAGTCTGGTCATCTGGACAGTTTCTTTTTTGTGGAAAGACGTTTCGCCCTCTATCCGGAGGGCTTCATCAGTCTGAGGAGTCCCAAATAAACCGTTTCCCCACTAAAATAACTGGTTGGTCCACTAAAGGATTGTACCGCTTAGTGGGGAAAACAGTTTACTTGGGACTACTCCGACTGATGACGCCTTCCAGATAGAGGGCGAAACGCCTTTCCACCAAAAGGAACGCGTCCAGACGACCTGACTGACCATTATTGGATTTTGTTCCTGGATGATTGAGCATGAACTTGGATGTTAACGACAGAGTCTAAAACCATCCTTGGATTCGTAACAGACTGCTTAAGATATGACTCAAAAGAGTCAAGATTAACAGGAACAGTAGAGCTAGGGCTAAACACAATAACTTCAGTTTTCTATCAATGAAACTTTAAAAAGTTTAAAACAATCATCAGTATAGCAATGAAACGAAACGCTATGTTTCCTCAGGATAGATCCCAAGGGAAGATACAATGAAAACAGAAGCTGTCCAAGTATCGAGCCCTGTGGGATCCCGCGGGAAAGAGGCACTGATGCAGCTACACTATTTCCAACCAATCAGGTTGTTTCCAAGAACAACTGAGAGGAGTCCGGTTTGCCCAAATTTAACCATTATATAAGCCAACTCTTCAGTTCATGTAAGAGTTGTATTTATATAATAGTAAATGGTATAAAGCAATGTAGCTAAATAACCTATGATTTTATTCAGATCATTTAATTTCTGTATAATGACACTTATTATAGGAGACCAATGAATGGGTTTATATTGTGATTTCAGTTTAATTAATTTGTCCTGAGCAGTTAAACACAAAATCGGTTGCTCGGGAAGTTTCAAATCAGGCATTTTTCATTTTATTCCTTGTGTTTGCATACTAGTTTTTACTTTAAACAAGTGTAAATGCTTTGGTTTTCACTCATTTTCTCAAATGGAAAACCAAAAAATTATTTGAATTAAAAAAGTTGATCCAAATCTGTATTGACTATTTTATTTAATGCAGCTCAGTTACCATTTAGAGGCAAGTTTTTGAATAAAGCTACGTTCTGTCTTGAATATAATATGTTACAGTGAAAGTTTAAAAACAAGCAGCAGAAATTAAATTGTTTGACTTTTTCTTGACGTGTTCTATAAAGCTATAAAGCTTGGTGAATGATTTTGGAACACATCTTTTTTTATCAAACCTGCTGCAGAGTCTGACGACTGGAGTTCCAGCTGACTGCACGTGTTCAGCATCTTCATAATTTTTCCACCACCAAAGCCTTTAAAATCTCATTACAACCTCTCATTCATTTTGAGTGACTCCCATTAAAGCATTCATCACTCGTTTCTCCTCCTCTCTGCTCCATCTCTTCCACTCACTTATCATTCTGTCCTACATTTACTCTGACTTTGCAGCTGTAATCGACTTGCTCTCTGTTGTTCAGGTCGAATCCCCCGGGCTGTTGCTTCCATTAACCAGCACCTGCTGAACTCTGATGACGTGGTCAGCTGCTGTCTGGACTTGGGCGCTCCCAGCATGTCCTTTAGGATCAATGGTCAGCCTGTGCAGGGCATGTTCGAGGACTTCAACACGGATGGATTCTTCTTCCCCGTCGTCAGCTTCTCTGCAGGTGTAAAGTAAGGTCTTCTAAGCTTGGTGGCCAGCACTTATTGTTTTACTGTTGTTTTTTTGTTTTTATTTTTGTACAGCACTTTGATCGACTGTTATGTTGTATTTTAAGTGCTTTAGAAATAAAATGGTATAGTACGGTATGGTAAATAAATGGTTTGTTGTTGCGGCCGTTTATTATTTTAACAGTATCTCATAGTTTTACAACCCCCAAAGCTGAAAAACTTTGGGACGTTGAGTAAAAGGTAAATAAAAACACAATGCATTATTTTGTACATCTCATAAATCCGTATTTTATTGTCCTCTCTAATGGAGTGAAGAGGGGACTTGGAAAAGCCCTTCATCCAGCCATCTGTCCAGTTCATCCTGTGAGCTAGATAACTTGAAAAATAAATGAGATACCAACTTCCACGCGGCTTAGGTGTAAGAAAGGTCACCATTCAAAATTGGGTTGCCATGTAAAAATCCAAGATGGTTACAATCAATGTAAACCAGCCACACCTATCATTTGAGCAAAGTATGCTTTCTAGTTTTTTACATTTCTTAGGCGTATACAATCAGTCTGCCTGAGGAAAAACGAGCCGACTATCAAATTTCTCATGGGACATGGGTAACTAGTGACAAAGCTTTGTCTATCGCAACCCCACCCCCTTGAGAACTTCTGTGCAGGCTTATCAGAACTACTGGCTGAAACAACATCATCAGAACTGTGGCCTATCTGAAAGTGCTTATGGACAAATCTCAACACGTTGACGTCAAGTGCATATGTAATGTTTATAAATGTGCTTGCTGGTAGAGTTTTTTGATGTCTCAAATCATGTCCTGATAGGACTAAGATGTGAAGAGATCTTTTTTGTAATTCCATTATCTAGCTTTATGGTTCTTATCCTTTTTCTATCTAAAAGTATTGTGATAAAGAATAAGGGGCCGTGCTTTTTAGCAGCAGCAATGCGCACTCTGCCCATCTTTCGGACGACTGTCCGAACACAATTTCACTGTATCCCGGTACAATAATAAAAAAGCTTATTCTGAGTATAGTTTCCTCAAATTATTGAGGTGGCCAGTGGGGTTGCTGAAGATTAAATCTATGGTGGCCAAGGCCACCATTGGCCACCCCTTGGCTCCACCTTTGTGCCTGGTGGTGGATAAAATTGCTTCTGCCATTTGCCAGGATCAATCATTCAGCTCAGACAAGGAATAAAAACAACAATATCTGTTCTTCTACACAGTGTAACTCCTCCCAACTTGAATAAATTGCACCAAAAATAATGTTTACTTGCATTCCCTGTCCAGAAAAACACAATTTCAAAAACTACAAACATTTACTATTCCAATCCCTCAGCAACGCGGTACATCGGCTTACCGCTTGTTTGTGATGAAACACAAACACATCAAATGTGTTTGCACCTCACTCCACCTCCAAATGGTACAATTTCGTATTTTCAGCATTTCATATGTTTACTATACTCCATTGTGAATACTTATGGGTTCATGAGATTTGGAAATCATTGCATTCTGCTTTTATTTACATTTTACAAAACATCCCACTTTTCCAGAATTGGGGTTGTACACAGGCAGCACGGTGGCGCAACTGGTAGAGCTGCTGCCTCTCAGCGAGCAGGTCCTTGGTTCAAACCCTGGTCCAGGGGCCTTCTGGGTGGAGTTTGCATGTTCTCTCCGTGCATGCGTGGGTTTTCTCCGGGTACTCCGGTTTCCTCCCACAGACCAAAAACATGCATGTTAGACTGATTGGTAACTCTAAATTGTCCCTAGATGTGAGTGAGAGTGAATGGTTGTTTGTCTCGTTTGTCTCTATGTGGCCCTGTGATGGACTTGCGACCTGTCCAGGGTGTACCCCGCCCTTCACACAGTGATTGCTGGACATGGGCACCAGCGACCCCCGTGACCCAAAATGGAATAAGCGGGTAAAGATGATGGATGGATGGGTTGTACACAAAAGCAGCAATGTGTCAGATAGAAAGTAGTATCCTGTTGCATATGGTCATCTGGTGTTTTTGTAACTTTCATCTCAGAGCTCGTTTCCTGTTGGGCGGACGCCACGGAGATTTCAAGTTCCTGCCACCTGCCAGTTACTCTCCGTGCTACGAAGCCCTCCTGCCAAAGGAGAAGATGCACGTAGAGCCTGTGAAGGAGTACAAACGGGACCACGATGGGGTCCGCGATCTTCTGGGAACTACCCAGTTCCTCTCTCAGGCCTCCTTCATTCCCACTCCTGTTGACACCAGCCAGGTGAGGAGTTGAATATCGTGTCTGTAGAACCTGAAGCAAAAGCCGGTCTCAAGAATGATGATGAATAAAAGAAAAATGAACATAAAAACAATTAAATTCACACTTTCGTTCTGTTTATGTGCTATCTGCAGATTGTTCTTCCTCCTCATCTGGAGAACATCCGTGACAAGCTGGCAGAAAACATCCATGAACTTTGGGGGATGAACAAGATTGAACTGGGCTGGACTTATGGCAAGGTAAACCTGCTCTTGTGCTGCAGCTGTGGGGTTCAACAGTCAAATGTAAATGCTGCAGGTAGCTGAAAACAGTTACGGATAGCGGCCAGCTCCAGCCATTAATCTTAAATGCTTGTTGATGGCTCATTAATTTGAAGATTTCTGTTTTAACTACAAACCGGATTCCAAAAAAAGTTGGGACACTAAACAAATTGTGAATAAAAACTGAATGCAATGATGTGGAGGTGCCAACATCTAATATTTTATTCAGAATAGAACACAAATCACAGATCAAAAGTTTAAACTGACAGAATGTATCATTTTAAGGGAAAAACCTGTTGTTTCCAAATTTCATGGCGTCAACAAATCCCCAAAAAGTTGGGACAAGTCCATTTTTACCACTGTGTGGCATCCCCCCCTTCTTCTTACAACACTCAACAGACGTCTGGGGACAGAGGAGACCAGTTTCTCAAGTTTAGAAATAGGAATGCTCTCCCATTCATGTCTAATTCAGGCCTCTAACTGTTCAATCGTCTTGGGCCTTCTTTGTCGCACCTTCCTCTTTATGATGCGCCAAATGTTCTCTATAGGTGAAAGATCTGGACTGCAGGCTGGCCATTTCAGTACCCGGATCCTTCTCCTACGTAGCCATGATGTTGTGATTGCTGCAGAATGTGGTCTGGCATTATCGTGTTGAAAAATGCAGGGTCTTCCCTGAAAGAGATGACGTCTAGATGGGAGCATATGTTGTTCTAGAACCTGAACATAGTTCTCTGCATTAATGGTGCCTTTCCAGACATGCAAGCTGCCCATGCCACAAGCGTTCATGCAACCCCATACCATCAGTGATGCAGGCTTCTGTTGATAACAACTTGGGCTATCCTTGTCCTCTCTGGTCCGGATGACATGGCGTCCCAATGTTCCATAAAGAACTTCAAATCGTGATTCATCTGACCACAGAACAGTCTTCCATTTTGCCACACTCCATTTTTAATGACCCCTGGCCCAGTGCAAACGTCTGAGCTTGTGGAGCTTGCGGAGCTTGCTTAGAAATGGCTTCCTCTTTGCACTGTAGAGTTTCAGCTGGCAACGGCGGATGGCACGGTGGATTGTGTTCACTGACAATGCTTTCTGGAAGTATTCCTGAGCCCATTCTGTTATTTGCTTGACAGTGGCATTCCTGTTTGAGGTGCAGTGACGTTTAAGGGCCCGGAGATCACGAGCATCCAGTAGAGTTTTACGGCCTTGACCCTTACGCACAGCGATTGTTCCAGATTCTCTGGATCTTTTGATGATATTATGCATGGTTGATGATGATAACTTAAAAGTCTTTGCTATTTTACGCTGGGTAACACCATTCTGGTATTGCTGCACTATCTTACTGTGCAACAATGGTGGAATTGGTGATCCTCTTACCATCTTGGCTTCTGAGAGACACTGACTCTCTGAGAAGCTCTTTTTATACCCAATCATGTTGTCAATTGACATAATTAGTGTTAAATGGTCTTCCAGCTGTTCGTTATATGCTCAATTTCCTTTTTCCAGCCACTTATTGCTACTTGTCCCAACTTTTTGGGGATTTGTTGACACTGTGAAATTTTGAATCAACATATTTTTTCCTTTAAGATGTTGCATTTACTCAGATTAAACTTTTGATCTGTCATCTATGTTATATTACGAATAAAATATTGACATTTGCCATCTCCACATCATTGCATTCAGTTTTTATTCACAATTTGTTTAGTGTCCCAACTTTTTTGGAATCCGGTTTGTACATGGCACTACTGCTGACTTATGAACTGTTAATGCGCACAGCTACAAACAGCAATGTTGTGTTCAAAGACATCATAAATTTAAGAAGACTTTGATTCTTTTGATCAATTAAATAAAGCAAAAGAAAAATATTTAAAATGCTCATAGAACAGAGGATCTGCTGCTGAATAAATCCGATTTCCTTGGAGTAGTTAATTTATTAAAAAAATATATTTTACTCTTGTGTTTACTGTGGGAGTTTTAAGTAGTATGCTTGATTTTAGAACCAATTCTTCATGCAGTGAAGATATTTGTGACCTTTTCTGTTTATCTTGCATCTGCTTTTAATAAACTGTTTCAACCACACTCCAAATTTAGTTTCAGGGTAATCAGCAGGTAACAATATGAAGTCTTTATTCTTATTTTTTCTGTATTGTCAATACAAATACAATGTATAGCAACATCCATAGTGTGTAACATTCTCAACCATCAAAAAACTTTGTTGATGTTTATGTAGATTTAAGAAATGCTGTGTTTTCTTTACAGTACATCAGTTTACATCTAAAAAGGCTGCAGGTCACTCAGACTGCAGAAGCATAAAACTATCTAGATCTAAATAACTAGTTTATAATTTTTGTTTCTGTTCACTGTAGTTCTTTCCTGCCCACTATTTAAAAGTCAAGTCAGTTTTATTGTCATTTTCATCACATGTGGTACATGAAGTGGAATGAATTTATGTATGCAGGGTCTCAGTTACACCCCAAAATAGCAAAATATAAGTATAAAAAGAAACAGTAAACAAGGATCTAAGATGTACACTAAACACCAACAATGTAAAACAATACATTGTAGCAACAGCAGCCCGAACATGAGTCTGTGGTGAACAGATGGGTATGAATGAATACAGCAGCATGAGATCAGCAGCATGGATAATCAGCAGCATAAAATAATCAGCAGCATTAAAAGGGAGTTTGAGGTAAAAAGTGTTAATTTATTATTTGGAATTAGTAATGGTGCACACATTGGATTATTAGAGGGCAGCATACAAAAAATAAATGTTGCTTTTGCCTAACCTGCTTCAGTTTAACTGATTTTATATAAACATTAGGTTTAAAGAGGTTATTATTTTGATCATTAAATATATTTTCCTGCTTGCTCTTGACAAAGACGGTCGCTTTTCCCTCCTGCTTTGATCTTTGTCTTGTGATTCCTCGGAACCTGTCACTACATATCCTCCGAATTGTAAATTATGGATCTGGTCAGCTGGTCTCTCAATGCAACTGATAAAAATTTTTCGACAAGAAGACTGGGCGAAGGAGAGCCCCCATGCCCTGAAGAGACACTCGCAGCTGAATGTACTATGGATTCCTGGGGCCAGTGGAAGATGGTGTGTCTGTATTGTCTGTTGAGAAATGTAGAAGACGTGCACATAACTGGATTTATGATAACCAGATTTCTACTTTTTGGTGTTGGCGGGTATCTGGCATATCGACAAACTCTGAAGACTGTGACAGCATTTCTGGCAATTGTAATGCTGCCTGCCTTGTCTGAAAGAATGTACCGAGCGGTAAGCACTCAGACTTAGATGCTGCATGAACTGAGTCGTAAGCCGAATGCGATTTCTGAGAATCACAGGCCACTTGCAGCTCCTGGGACTCACAGGCTGAAAGGAATCGACCTTGGAGAAGGCTACAAGCTCGAACCGGCAGTGTGCCCACAAAATTTGGCTGTTTGGAATTGCCAGTGAGACGTACCAGCAGAACTTTGAAGGCAGACATGGAAATTCAAGCAGTCGGCCTGACCCAAAATAATTATCTGAATTTGGCTTCCCCACTCGGCCTTGAACTAGCCAGCTATCTCTAACTTCTCCTGGTTGTTTATGTGAACGAGAAGCTCCTCTCCACCCCCCTCCCCTATCGCTCCCCTCCCTAGGACATCTATGGATCTGTGTCAGAGTTGAGCCGGCTGATAGACACTGTACCATCTTTATCAGGAGTATGGAACTTTCTGGCAGTGTCCACGGATCATTTACTGCCCTAGTCAGCCTCATGTATATATGTATCATGATGTCATCCGTATGTTGCTGTTTCATGTGCTGAAGTCATTTTTTGCAACTTTCACGCTGTCCCGTCTAGGACATAGTGTGAGATAAAAAAATAAAAAAAAATTTAATCTACACTCCTCCTCTTGTTTCCTTTTCCGAAAAAAAAGGCTTGCGCCTCTTGAGGCCAGCGGCCTCAGTCGCCTCCGTCTCCCCATGTCTGTTTGTTTCTCTCAGATGGGCTGTACTGAAATGTAATTTTATTGCAGTTCGATGCAATGAAAATAAAGCTGATTCTGATGAACTCTTTTTAAAGGATCGTTTGGTTCCTTTCAGATGAGCTTCTTCTCCAACTGTGTATAGTCTGTGGTCTAGAGTCTCTAAGCTTTAATTTTTAATGTTGCGTAACTTTTAGTCCAAACTAATCTTTTAGATCAGTAAAGTCAAGGCAGCTTTGGGGCAGAAACATGTTTTATCATTAAAGTTAATAAGCCTTAAAGGTATTTTAAAATTGCATGTAAACTGCCTAACTTCTTATATAGTTCCTCCTAATGTTTTAGAACCATTTTGAGTTTTTTCTCTCGCATTAAATAAACCAGGAATCTGTATTCCACACAGCTCCTTTTAAAGGAAACCAAATGTTTTCTTCGAACTCCTGTGCGCAGCGTCTGAAGGCATTTTCATCACTCCTGTCTGCACCGCTTCTCTGCCTCATCATTTTCCTCTCACTCTTTCTCCCCGCTGCAGAATGTCCCATCAGAAGTCTGATCACACACCTCGCCTCTTTTGTACTGTTGTGGTTATCACAGAATGATAATCCACTGGGGCTGAAGCCGTTCAGCAAAATTAACGAGTGCCTTTTTCTTCCTAAAAGAATGACGTCCATGTTAATTAAGACTGTGAGAACGCTCTGGTCGGGTGGAGTAGCCCAGGTCTTGGAGATGATCAAGGAGGGCATGTAGGTCTAAACAGCTGCTTTATGCTACATTTTGCAGCTCAGTTAAATCAAAGAGACGTAATTCCATGTCTGTTGTGACAAGCTGCAGATATCAGACCTCCAGGATGGTGGTAAAGTCAGATGTAGCACTGTTTTGCATTTATTTGCTTGGTCCAAATGTGTCATTTTCTAATGTCAGTATCGGTTTGCTTTGTCACAGAAAGGCCTTACTGAGCTGTAAACACATTTCAGTCTGCTCCCTTGCAAAGACACATAAGAGCTGATGGAAATCTACTGTGACAGTTCTCTGAGCTGAACGTAGTTCATAAAATAATCAGAATGAAACTAGCTTTCCTTGAAGGAATGCATATTGCCTGCCATAATCCATGCCAAAGACTTTTGACATATAAAAACGGGAACAAACTCTCAGGGATCGTCGATGTGCAGCAAAACCGTTGGCATAACCTCACTGACCTACACAAGGCGAGGTCCGTGAACAAGGCCAGGCTGATTCTGGCAGATCCTGATCACCCACTCCATGGTGAGTTCAGGTTGCTTCCTATCTGCTGCCTAAATGTAGGACCAACAGACTGAATAACATTAATTCCTGTAGTGATCAGGCTTCTCAATGAATAGTGATGATTTCTATCCATCCATCCATCCATCCATCCATTATCTTCCGCTTGTTCCGAAGTCGGGTCGTGGGGGCAGCAGCTTGAGCAGGGAGGCCCAGACATCTCTTTCCACAGCCACCTCTTCCAGCTCTTCTGGAAGGATTCCAAGGCATTCTCAGGCCAACCAAGAGGCATAGTCTCTCCAGCGTGTCCTGGGTCTTCCCCAGGGTCTTCTCCCAGTCGGACATGCCTGAAGCACCTCCCTAGGGAGATGCCCAGGGAGAATACTTACCAGATGCCCGAACCACCTCAACTGGCTCCTTTCCATGTGGAGGAGCAGCGGTTTTACTCCGAGTCTCTCCAGGATAACTGAATTTCTCACCCTATCTCTAAGGGAGAGTCCAGCTACCCTGCGGAGGAAACATTTCAACTGCCTGTATCTGTGATCTCATTAGTATCTCTATTAGTATTGCTAATAGAAATTAGTCATATCAGTGATTTACTGTTATTTTAATGTCTCGATGTCTTGTCTAGTATGGATGTTTTGTTTGCCTACTGAATGTGAAAGGATTTGCCCCTTGGGGATAATAAAGATTCTTGAACTTAAAAGCTTTAAACACTTGGACTGAGATGGGGAGGACTTTCAGCTGTGACAAGTTTTTAGCTCAGTCTCAATCTGACATGTCTGAGAGTTTCATTAAAATCTAGTGCTTCATGAGCTATTTTGCTGTAAACACAGCCTATAATATGATTGCCCAATATTCACAGCAGCAGGTGATAATTATTGTGGAATTGAAAAACCAACACAAATCCTTCTGGAAATAAATTGTAGAAAACAAGCTGACTTTATCCAACTTTTTTTATCTCTGAATGCTTTAATTTTTTTAAAAATCTGTAGACTGAGAGGACATGTTGTGAGATGAACCATTAATGACATCTGACCGTCTTCCCCTCCAGATCCGGGATGACAACAAGAGGCAGCACCCTTGCCTTGTGGATTTCACCAAACTGCCTGAAACTGAACGGAGCTACAATCTGCAGATGTCCAGCGAAACACTCAAGTATGGCCGCCCCGCTGGTTAAACTGGAAACATTAATTTCTGTGAAAAGCACAGTGAATGCTGGGAGATGGACTTTACTTATTTGTTGAGGAAGCTGAAACAGAATTGTTATTGCTAAAAGATACAAAATACTAGCTAAAGAATGAAAGAAGCATAACACTAGCTCAAAGCCAAAAGTAGCTATGCTAGTTAAAAGCTAAATGCAGTAAAATGCTAAATAAAATGTAAAATTGTAATAAAATAAAAAAGCTAAAGACTATATGTAACAAGAGTAGCTAAAGGTTAAAGTAGTATTTGGCTAGCTACAAATAAAAAAAATAAAATGGTTACCTAAATTCTAAAAGTAGCAAAATGGTATCTAAAAGTTTAAAGTGGCAAAAAGCTTGATAAAAGTGAAAGGTAGGTAAATACCAGCTAAAAGCAACAGCTAATTGTCTGAAAGCCAAAAGTAGCAGAATAACATCTAAAAGCAGCAAAAGGCTAGCATAAAGTAGCAAAATGTTAGATTAAAGCTAAAAGTAACTAAAATTTAAAAGTAGTTTAAGGCTAAAATAACACAAGAAAACAAAAATGGAGCAAGTACGCTGTAACAGACTTGAAAGATAAATGTTTTTTTTAAAGAACTGAAGAGATTCAAACGTATTTCTACGGTGAAAATATATGTAAACAAAGTTAGTCATTGAAAAATTATAAAATTTACAAAAACCAAAAGTCCTATCTCATAAATAAACTGAACGTTTTGATAGACCAATAGCTAAAATAGAAAACATTATGCAAAAGTAGATGCAAAAAAACCAAACAGGACAACAATGATGTGAATGCTGAATCGGCATTCTTAATATAATTTAATTACTTGTTTATTGAACTGCTGTGGCAGCTCCCTGCTAAATGCTGAGCTTCACCAGATTAGGACTAAGATTAAAACAGTGCTTCTGATGACTTTCACCTCCAGGGGAAGTTCCAGTATTGATTTCTTTGAGGTATTGGCTCCAGAAACTATTGATCCATCTAACTGAGTCATCTTTCTATTAAAGCATTTGGCTCAATGAAGCGGTCTCCTCTTCCAATGAGCTCTTGTTGGAGTGAGCAGTTTAACCCTTAAATACGATTTTCCCCAAACGCCGTGTCCACAACAGCCTGAGTGCAGTTCAGTGTTTTGAGGTTCATGAAAATATGAGCTGGGTTTAAAAATACAGTAGTCTGTGGATTATTTAGGAGGAAGATGAAGCATCTTTCATATTTGTTTTTCTCTTTTCTTCTCAGGACCCTGTTGGCACTCGGCTGCCATGTTGCCCAGATTAATGTTCATGCTGAAGATGATCTTAAGAAAATCAAATTGCCTAAAGAGTATGACATCTTTCGACCAGTTCTGCATGGAAAAGACCCACCCACAGCATGCCTCTTAAAATCAATTTCCTCTTTTTTTAATCATGCAGTTTTATTTGTTGCATCACCCCAACTATTATCTTGTGCTTTCTTCATCCTGTCGTGTTGATTTGTCCACAGCTACTTGATGTCTAACGGTTACAAGCCTGCGCCACTAGAACTCTCTGATGTGAAACTGACTGCGGGTCAAGAGGTTCTAGTTGATAAACTGGCTGAAAACGCACACAACGTTTGGGCCAAAGACAGAATAAAACAAGGATGGACCTATGGTATCCAGCAGGTAAAACCGCACCGCTAACATTTGCAGATAATTTATGTTTTTCTTATTTTTCTTATTTTCTCGTCCAAAAGTGACTGAAAGCTGAATGAGTAGGTCCTAAATTGGATTGTTCTGTTGTTGTGCCAGGATTTGAAGAGCAGGCGTAATCCTCGCCTGGTGCCATATGCTTTACTGGATGAACGCACTAAGAAGTCTAACAGAGACAGTCTGAGAGAAGCCATTAGGACCATTGTTGGATATGGATATGAAATCGATCCTCCAGACCAGGAGGGTAAGGTTCTGTTTTATTAAATATGAAAATATCTAAATAATTGAACCCACGACGCATTAGTTCACCCAGCACTGTTTCTAACAAATCCATTCCACTTGATTAACAGGAGAATACTCAAACTACAAATTCACTCAGAGTTTTCCTGGTTACCTACAACAACTCCACACCACATGTAGTGTTTCCCTTGGTCGTCTGCGATGGCAAGGCGCTCATGGGGCGGGGGTGGGAGGAGGAGACACCTCTGTTTTGCGTGCTAGCCGAGTGCCACGTTAGTGCTGGCAGTTATTGACGGGGTGGGAGGTTATGATTATGATGTGTGAGCGAAGCAGAACACTACATCTGTAGCATCTTTGCTAATGCATCTGTATTGCGCGCCGCTAGCTTAGTGCTACGTTATTTCTGGCAGTTTTGGATGCGGGGGTGGGGCTAGGATGCTTGTGAAAAACTGCGTGTGCTCTAGTCACACAAGGAGAGCTGTTGGTCAGGCTACTACTTGTTGCTCTCTAAAATAGTCATTGGATCGAGTGTTTACTTATGTAGGTCAATGTAGATGTTTAACAACCTGTTACAATACACCAGAATTCAGGAAATGGCATCTACTTTCAAAATTTTCACCACCACCAATGTGTCCTCCCCCTCCCGCCCCAACCCCACTTTACAAATGCTTCATGTCTGAATGTTATTTACAATTACAGGCATCGTTTATTGTAGATTATGTATTGGTGTCTCTCCAGTGGTTAATTCTGACATCATGGATCAGCTACAGCATGGAACAAGGCATTAAGTCCTACTGATTGTTTGATCAATCATTTCATTTAAAAGCACTTGGAAATATCTGCACATAAATTATGTATGCATCATGTTGGGTCTCTTTCTTTTTTTTGGCTCAAGTTGTGCATGCGTTAGATGGTCAGAGCATCGAGACCATCCGCTTCTTCCGTGTGGAGCAAACGTATGCCGTGAAGACGGGGAAGTGGTATTTTGAGTTTGAGGTCCTAACTGGAGGGGACATGAGGGTCGGCTGGGCCAGACCAGGATGCAGACCCGACGTGGAGCTGGGCGCAGATGACCAAGCCTACGTCTTTGATGGATACAGGGTAAACTGCATGTCATTTATTTTAAAGGTCACTACATGTTCTAGAAAGCAAATGAGCAACAAAGTTAAGATGGGAGCTTTCACCTCAGTGGTTTTTCTCTCTCAAGGGTCGACGAATGCACGCCGGCAGCCGCTACTTTGGGCAGCCTTGGAAAAAGGGTGACGTGGTTGGTTGCATGATCAATATGGAGGACAAATCCATGATTTTCACCCTGAATGGAGAGATCCTGATCACCAGCAAGGGTTCAGAGCTTTGCTTCGCCGACTTTGAAACAGAGGATGGTGAGGCCTTCAGACTCAAGTCAGCCTAAATATTAGTGTGAATGCTAATTTAGCTTTTGGCTACTGTTTGGTTCAATTTAGCATTAAGATACAATTTAGCTCATTCTTTTTACAGTTTCTTTAGAGTTAAGCAATTGTTTGGTTAATTTTAGCGTTTTGCTGCAGTTTTGCTAAATGTAGCTTTTAGCAAAAGTTTTAATTTTAGATTTTTGCTAGTCTTTTTTTTTTTCCTTTTAGCTAACATAGTGCTAATTTTAGTTTTTAGCAACTGTTTGCTCACTTTAGCTTTTAGCTACTGTTTTGTTGATTTTACCATCTGTTTAGCGTGTCTTAAAAATTCATAAGAGAAATGCATTCCGCGTTCATACTACTTTGCTCTAGTTCTTTTATCCGTTTTGTTTTTCATAATATTTCCAGATAGTCTTATTTTTTTTTCTTATTTCACTTTTATTATTCATAGTCTTTATTTAGCGAAAACAACAAAATGCTAAAATAACAGGTTTTAAGCACTTTGTCCTTTTCATCTATAAGTGATTAAATCTTTAAGCTCTACAGTGTACAAGATCTTCATGGCTGATAAGTCTTTAAATGTTTTATTATTTGTGTCATTTAAGACTCGTTAAATGTTTTTGTGTGTACAGAGGAGTAATGATTCCTTTCCTGTGAACTGTGAACCATCAAACCCACTAATTCCATCCCTTCCTTCAGGTTTTATCCCAGTCTGCAGCCTCGGCATGTCCCAGATCGGCCACATGAACCTGGGCAAAAACGCGAGCACCTTTAAGTACTACACCATGTGTGGTCTTCAGGAGGGTTTTGAGCCCTTTGCTGTCAACACGAACCGAGAGATTACAATGTGGTTCAGCAAGCGCTTGCCCACTTTTTTCAACGTACCTCAGGACCACATGCACATTGAGGTAGAGAAGTGGAGCCTTTCTGATTTAGTCACGAGCAAAAACAGACTCTTATTTACTGACTGGTTGTGAGTGAGTAGCCGATGTCCATGAAAACAGTTATTTTAAGGATTTCTTCTTTTTTTTTAGGTGACGCGGATCGATGGAACTGTTGACAACCCACCCTGCCTGAAGGTCACTCATAAGACATTTGGAACCCAGAACAGCAACAATGACATGGTTTACTGCAGGCTGAGCATGCCTGTGGAGTTTTACTCTGCAGACAGGGTACTGGACGAGTCACTAAAACTCAGGTGAGCAGAACAATCTTCGTGAAGCTCCATTATCACATGTCAATCACCACCTACATTAAGTTCACAAACAACAGTCGTTGCTATCAAGTTTTCATTCTTGCAGCCATCCTCCAAAAGAAGATGGAAGTATTGACTACGGGACCATCCATACTGTAAATAAACATTACCAGTCTACGTGACGTATCGCACTTATTCACTGCTCCTTTTACACCAGCAACCTTTCTAAGTGTGTATTTTTACACTTGCAGTACTACCACTCGGTGAGAGTGTTTGCCGGACAGGACCCTGCCTCTGTGTGGGTGGGCTGGGTCACACCCGATTACCATTACTACAACAAGAACTTCGGTCTCAGCAAGACTCAAACCGTCACCGTCACCCTGGGAGACGAGAGGGGCCGGGTCCACGAGAGGCAAGCTGCTGGCTTTATTTAATATCCAGTGCTCATATGAGATCAGGGAATTCAATAACAGTATTTTCAGAGCAATCATTTTTTTTTTTATATTAAACCCCCCTATTTACATTTAATTGCTTTTCTGATTTATCACAGTTATACTGAGTTTAGATGGTTTTTTAAAGCAGGGTAGAACCAGGAGCTGCTGGTGTGTGTTTGAACGTGTGAATTATGATTAATGCACTCAACTTTTGTACAGAAACACAAAAACTGAATAGGTGCTTACCCTTTTTACAGTGAATATAATGACTGAGCATTTCCATACAAATGCAGGTTTACAGATTACTGGTAGTCAGTTCCTCCATGTTAAATCTGTTGCATCTGTTTTATACTTTTATGTATCGTCAAAGTATGTTTGTTATTATTGTTGAATGAATTAGATTTTATGTTGATCTTTGGTCAGATTTACTCGGCGTTAGTCAAAAAAGAAATAAAAAAATCTGTTTATGGTAAAGAAATCATAGATTCTTAAGAACTGTTTGAATAACTCTGATTGAACTGAGCGTTCATTCCTAAAGGAAGAATCTTTTCACCAAAAGTAAACCTATTAATTATTTTGATGTATTGATATAAATGATATTTTGTAATCACAAATAATGTTATTCAACTTAATGTGTTTAATAAAAATAAAAATAAAATAAATAAAAACGATCTTTCCAAGAAAATTTTCACTGTTTACATTTGTAAAGTTTTAAGCAGGTTTATCTCTCAAACATCTATTAAATAAAAGAAAAATGGCAAAACAGCAACTTCATTATATATATATATATATATATATATATATATCAACAGGGGAGTGGTAGCACAGAGGTTAGAGTGGGTGGGCCTGTGATTCCCCAGACAACATCAAAATGTGTGAAAAAGGTGAAACACCTGCTTTCACCCTTCAAAAGGGCGGCTGTGGCTGAGTGGTTAGAGAAGTCGTCCTCCATTGCAAGAGTTTGGGGTTCGACTCCACCAGCGGTCACATGCCGAAGTGTCCCTGGGCAAGACACTGAACCCCTCATTGCCTCCGATGTGCGTCCCATCAGTGTATGAATGTGATAAAAAGCACTGATTAGTCTCTTTGGAATGATTTGTTCAATTAGCTTTGTAGAGATCTAGTAGAGAGCTGTATGAATGGGTACATGAGGGCACTGATTGTGTTGTAAAGCGCTTTGAGTATCTTGATCAGATAGAAAGGCGCTATACAAGTACAGTCCATTTACCCTCATTTGCCTCACACTGGGCTCATGAGCAAGGCCCCTAACCCCCCCAGCTGCTCCCCGGGCACCTTAGATGACAACCCTCTGCTTCACATGTGTGTGCTCACATGTGCAATGGGAAAAATGCAGATACTTAATTTCCCCATTGGGGATTAAGAGTACAATTTAAAAAAATATATTAAACTGACATCTGTCCTTAAAAAAAAACGGTCCACTGCTGCAGCTATTTTCTATATATACAGTATGACAGGTTCACTTTTTATTTATTTATTTTTCCCTGACCACACTGCACAATGACAGTGTTATAAGCTGGCCACGGTTTGCGTGGTGATCAGACCAGTAAATTAGAAATGAATGTGCTGAGCTCTTGTTCTGGTTGTTTTGCTTCAGCGTTCAGAGGAGTAACTGCTACATGGTGTGCGCGGCCGACGCCGTCAGCCCGTCCTCCTCTAGCCATTCCAACTCAGACCTGGAAATCGGCTGTCTGATCGACCTGGCCACGGGCTTCGTCTCCTTCACAGCCAACGGCACCGAATTGCCCACAGTCTATCAGGTAAAAGAGGAGACCAGAGTTTCGTAATCAGATACGCAGGGACGTATGCTGAGACATAAACGTGCCCATGACCAAACATTTTCCTCCTGTGGTAAATTTAATATGTACAGATGACTTGATTCCGCTGCAGAGTCAATGAAATACACATACTGTGGTGTAGTTTCTGTTTCCTGCTCTGCTGAGCTCGAGTATTTAAGACGTCAAAAATGTGATGAGATGTTGGAACGATACAGCAAAAAGCTGCTTCTGCTTCATTCTTCTTCTTTCCACTGTTCTTTGCTTCATAAAGTGGTTTAGTGGTTTTTTTTTTAAGCAATATTTAAAAAATGCTATATTTGGAGAACGGCATCTCTTTTTCCATTACAGTTTATGCTGCTTAAATCTGTGATGGTTGAAATGGCTGTGATGGTTTTCCTTTTCTTTTCTTTTAGAGTAAATGTATTGAACTCAACAAGCATGAGGATATTTTTTCTTTCCAGGTGGAGCCGAACACCAAGCTCTTTCCAGCTGTTTTTGTACGCCCCACCAGCTCAAACCTCTTCCAGTTTGAATTTGTCAAGATCAAGGTTTGGATCTCTTTTTTTCATTCAATCTTTATTTATACAGATTAATCCCATTCAGCCTCGGGGACTCATTTACAAGAGAGACCTGACCTTCATCGTCCCTTTAATTTGTTTCAATTTTAGTTTTAGCATACTGCATATAAAGGGTGTGAACACCCAGAAGTTCTTTGTGAGTGTTCATGAATAGGTGGAAGTGACAGTTTGGGTGTTTCAGATATGGGTTAAAAAGGCACTAATTGTATGAAAACTTATTTTGTATTACAGCAGTAATGCTTTGCTCAGTGATCCTTCAAGATCTCACCTAACAACTATTTTTAGTGTATATTTGTTAAAATATGTATTTAATAAACTGCAGCATAATCAGTGATGCTCCTACGATAATACATTTTCTTTAAAGTTATTTTCTGATGGTAACTCCCCTGCCTTATCCCAGGATGCCATGCCGCTGTCGTCTGCCATCTTCAGAAGCGAGCAGAGGAACCCGGTTCCTCAGTGTCCACCGAGACTGGATGTGCAGACCATCGTGGCCGTGCTCTGGAGTCGAATGCCGAACACCTTCCTGAATGTGGAGACGGCTCGGGTCAGTGAACGGCACGGCTGGGTGGTCCAATGTCTGGAGCCCCTGCAGATGATGGCTGTGCACATACCTGAAGAGAACAGGTACCATAACAAAACACATCAATGTGTTGATGATCACTGTATCAACAGAGGCATCCTGTATTATTATTATTTTAATGCTGAATCATGGACCGTGCTTAGTAACATATTTTAATAATTTACACATTTGAATGGTTGTCTACAGGCACCTCCTTTTATCTTAAATTACCCACATTTTGAGTACACCGTTGTTTGTTTATATAAAATTATAATTTACACATTTTAGTCTAACTCACTGAGATAAATATGGTAAAACAAATTATGTACATAATGCAAAGAGGCACAGTAGACATACAGGTAGGCGGCTTGTCGCACTATTTTTCTGTGATTTATCTCCAAAGATAAACTCCTTTTCAAGTGGCATTAAGTTGTTTTATTCACGAACCAATCAAGTTGACCACAGTTTGTTCCTTCATGCATACACTCAGCATTGTTGGACCAGCATAGTGACAGCATTTCTGTGTGTGTTACTCTAACGTTACACACATTTACCTATCAACTCGGTTCCGGGACTTTCTTTATTGCCGATTGATTTAAGCAACAAAGGAAGTCCCAGAAACAAAAGTTCAACATTCCCTTGTCCTCATGGAGACTTCAAAATGTTGAAAATCCTTGCAAACACTGCTTTTCCTGGAATTATCTTCATCCACTCGCAGAAAATGACCTGTAATGCTGTAGTGAGTATGCCAGGCCTCTATGTGGCGCTGTAACACTGCCACAAACATACACCAAAAACAGGAAGCAAGGCGACGAGCACGTACATAATGCTTACACTCTGGATACTGTAGGACACCCTCAGATTAGTGCTGTCATTTCTAACACGGGCACAAAGCCTAGCCCGACCTGAATTCGGGGTGGGCCATAATAATGTGCTGAATGGACAGGCCGGGTCAGTGTCAGGCGCGGTTGATGATCCAATTATATGGCAACTTGGCTTGCTATACAATCACCAGCTGCATGCGGCCATTAGACTGCGTGCTGACTGGCCTTGAAAGAGGCAAAAAAAAAAGTTAAGTTAAGCTTCAGATGGAATTGCCAGGCAGCGATCCATCAGCCCAAATGGACGTTCAGCCGCTGCACTCAGCGGACGACCCAAACAGGTGAGATCCCAAAATATCCTCGCAGACATGTCAGAGCAGGGTCCGTGTCTGAATAATGCAGAATGCAGGCAGAAGCAGGGATTTAATGCACTTTGACGGCTATGAAAGGACAAACACCCCCTCATCTCCTATCTTCTGCCCCCTTTTACTTAGCCGCGCGCATCTGCCGACTGTTAATAACTATATAAGCAGTCAAAGCTTAATTAAAAATGTTGGGGGGTTTTCAGGTTCTGACCTGTAATTACTGTTAATTCGTTGGGTTGGGTTCGGAAAAATGGCTATGGGCTGGGGCTGGGTCGCATATTTTGGGCCCGAATGCAACTCTATCTCAGATCGAAGGTTTTATTAGTTATTGTATTTTGGCTGTCTACACAAAAATCCAAAAGTGTTTGTCCTAGATTTTTTTTTTTTTATCTTTAAGCTATTCTTGAGGAAACACATCTAAAATATATTAAACTTGCTGTGTGAACGGTCTCATAGTAGTGATTCAACTCCCCATCCTGCCCTGGTCATTTCCTCCACACGATCAAGAAAGAAGCGTTTCAGGCCTGACGTGAAATGCTTGCCTCAGATGCCCTCAGGCGTGTAAGTGCCGGACATTAACTCCCAGGTGAACTCGCCTCCCCCTTTTACGAGTCTGTCCCTTTTCTTCATTCTCAGCGCCGTCTGCCTTTAAAAATTCCGCTCCGTATTAGTTTTCCTCTTACTGCAACAGGGCCAGTTTGTTTTCTCCACCTTCCCATGACCTGGAAATGATCATATTTCTGCAAACACGTCTTACAGTCCCTTCAATTCATACTGAAGAGAGAATGAACAAGCAGGATGCAGTGAGAGAACAAAGGAGCATCCGGTTATCCAATTACAATGTGTTGATGTCCAAGTTATTGTTTGTTTATTCAAATTTTTTTTGACACTTCATCTCCATTTTTCTCCATCGTTCCTTCAGGTGTTTGGACATCCTAGAGTTATCAGAGCATGAGGACCTGAGGAAATTTCACTACCACACTCTGAAGTTGTACAGCGCTCTCTGTGCTCTGGGAAACAATCGTGTCGCTCACGCTCTCTGCAGCCATTTAGACCAGTCGCAGCTCCTCTACACCATCGACAACCAGTACCTGTCAGGCATGCTCAGAGAGGGCTTCTATAATGTCCTCATCAGGTGAGTTGTCGTCTTTTTCTTTGCTGATCTGGTTGTCTTATATTGTTTTTGTTTTTTTTATTTACCTACCAAGCTGCTAATTGGAAAAATGTTTACATGTTAGATGAAGAAAAAACGAGAATGGGAAAGATGATGAATGTTGCCAGTAAATGATGATAAATGGTGCTGTCGGTGAAACAAAAGGAAAGTCAAAAATGTTACAAAAATTAAATGGGTTGAGCTGACATGTGAAGGAAAGAAAAGCTCGGTCAGGTTTTATTAATCGGATCTATGTCTGTCAGCGTCGGTTTCAGAGCCATTAACTGCCAAAGTGATGGAGCGATACACAAACTCAACATTCACCGCTGTCCAATAAATCATAACAATCTGTTTGTGTTGCCAGCTCACATCCATGGCAACTGAATCACTTTTTCTTTTCTTTTTTTAATGTACTATTGTTTCAAGCATTAGGAAAAATAAAAAAGATGGGACAAAAATGAGTAAAATTAAATTTTATGGCAGCAACACATCTCAAAAACACTGACAGGTGGAGACGAAAGCAGTAAAAGTGTCAAGGATAAGAAACACCTGGGGGAGAGTTTTACAGCTCAGTACAGGTCCGTGTGAAAACTTTTTAAAAAGGCTGAATCTATGAGAAGTAGAGAAGTTTACCAGTCTGCATAAATTGTCTAGAAACAGTGGAACAATTTCAGGACAATTTTCCTCAATGGAAGATTGATGGATTGATGGATGGATTTGATAAAATAAATAAAAAATCTCCGCTTAAAGGACAAAGTAGAAAGTCAATATTGGATGCAGATGATCTTCCATCCGTCCACTGCATTAAAAACAGGTCTGTTTGTGTTCTGGTCATTCCTGCATGGACTCAGGAGCACTGCCACAGATCACTGTCTGTAAACACAGATCACCATGCCATCCACAAATGCTGGTTAAAGCTCTATCGTACAAACAAGAAGCAATATGTGAACACCATAAAGAACCAAAGCTCATTTAAATTGGACTGAGACAAAGTGGAAAATGTTCTTTGGTCGGACCAATGGAGATTTTAAACTATTTTTGGAAACCGCAGGTGCTACATCTTCCATACTAAAGAGGAGACGGACCATCCAGCCTGATAACAACCACTGTTCAAAAGCCTGCCTCTGATGGTATGGGGGTGCATTAGTGCCTATGGCATGGGCAGCTTACACATCTGGAAAGGCACCAACAATACAGAAAATTATTTATTTACCTTTATTTAATTAACAAATTCCACTGAAATCTAATTAACCAGTAAGCCATAGTGCTGCCAGAAAAACAGTGTAAACAGGTTTTGAAACGATATGCTCCAATTCAGATGTCGACTTTATCAGATACGGCATCGCATATTGCAGCAAAATGATGCTAAACAACATACTGCGTCCTCTCCTACAGCAGGTCTTCATTGTAGAAGAGGAGTAGAAGAAGGTCATGTGCTGGTCGTTTGCCTGCAGTCCAAACCTGTCACCAAATTTAACATAAAATCCAGCAAAGATGGTTTAGGACTGTTGAGCAACTAGAATCCTACATCAAACATGAATGGGACAACATTCCCCTCCAGAAACACCAACCTTTATGAAACTGGAGTTGTACAGTACTTTTTACTGTGTGAACATTTATGAAGCATTCACTCTATTGGGATCCATTTTTCAGCTTCTTTCTTGTTCCACAATTTTTGTGCCATTTCAACAAATCATAAATCAAAACGTTCAGCTCTTTCAGGACAACTCTGCTATGACTTTTTGTTATTGGTGCAACTTTAGCTTTTTGAAATATTTAGCCTTTTACGCCACTTTTTTCCTCAAAGAAAATGAATTGAGCTCATTTTACATCCTTCACATCTTTAGATCCGTTTACAACCTTTTACTGCTCGTTTCACATTTTGTTCTGCTTCAGCTTCTTTCAGCTTCCTTGTGCAAATTTAAACTTTTTCCCCAGCAAATTTCAGCTGTTTTTCAGCTGTTTTGTGCTCCTTTTAGATTATTTCTGCTAACTTCAACATTTTTGTGCTTCTTCTAACGTCTTTTTGCTAGTTTCAGCTTATTTATGCCAGTTTCAGCTTTTTCTACTATTTCAGCTACTTGGTTTTTATGCTAATTTAAGCTTTTTAGCTAATTCCACATTTTTTGCACTCATTTCAACTTTTTTCAGCCTAATTCAACAAAAATGTGCGCTCTCCACGTCAGTTGTGTAATTTCAGCTTCTTTCTGCATTTTTAGCTACTTTTCAGCTGGTTTTTTTTTTTTGTTGCTAATTTCAGCTTTTTTTTTCCAAATAATTTAAATTGTGCTCATTTCTGCTTCTTTCAGCCTAACTGGGCAAACGTGTTCTTTCTGCTTTAAGCTTGTTCTACTGTTTCAACTACTTTTTAGCTTATTTTAGTTATTTTCAGCTAAATTCAAAATTTCTGTAATTTCTGCTACTATCAGCCTAATTAACTTCTTTATACTAATTTCAGTATAGTTATAGATATCACTAGTTTCAGCTTTTTCTGCTATTTCAGCTACTATTTAGCTGTTTTATGCTAATTTCAGCTTTTTTAGGTAATATCCAAAATTTTCTGCTCATTTCTGCTAATTTATACCTAATTCAGCAAAAAAAAAAAGTTATTTCTGCTTTATTCTGCTATTTTAAGCTTGTTCTTTCATTTCAGCTACAACTCAGCATTTTTTAAGCTAATTTCAGCTGTTTTTCCAGCTAGTGCTTCTGCAATAAGCATTCACACTGCATTTTCACAGGAAACACACTTTCTATAGTTCAATTTAGGTTTGCTTTCTGACGTTTAGTGCTTCCCTCATTGTTTGCAGAAAAAGTCAACCTGAATGGAAAATGCTTGTTTCTGTTTGTTGGTTTTATTTACGAAGTTTAGCCACAATAGTTAAAAGAGCCCATTCAGGCTCGACTGCTGAATCATGCGTATAGATGAGCATCCCCTTTACTTTCCTCAGGCATACTATTGCAATCTAAAAAAATGAGGATGTAGAAATCTTACTAATGGTGCATTTAAATCACTAAAGGATGCTTTAAGTTAAATGGAGATACAGAAGACATTGTTTTGAGTTATGTGCAATAATTGAAGTAACTCTTGTTTTCAGCATTCATCTCGAGACAGCGAAGGAGGCGCGCCTGATGATGAACAATGAGTTCATTATCCCTGTGACAGATGAGACTCGTTCCATCAAACTCTTCCCAGATGAGTCCAAGCAACACTCGCTGCCCGGCGTGGGCCTCAGCACCTCCCTTACACCTCGGGTCAACTTCTCCCCCGTCGGCATCATCAACACCAAACGCCACCAGTTCCTCTACAGCCCCCAGATCCCACTGGGCATCTTGAAGGAGAAAGCCATTAGCATGCTGACGGAAGCCGTGCAGGGAGGGGGCTCGCACATCCGAGACCCCGTGGGCGGGAGTTTGGAGTATCAGTTTGTTCCCATCCTGAAGCTCATCGGAACGCTGCTCATCATGGGGGTCCTGACCAGTGACGAGGTGAGGCTGATCCTCCTCCTGATCGAGCCCAACGTGTTCGGGGAGGTCAAGGAGGGTGAGGAGGCGAAGGGGGATGAGGTGGCTGGGGTAAGGGAGAAGGAGGAGGTGAGCAAGAATGAGGAGAAGGCTGTGGAGGCGGGGGAGGAGGAGACCAAGGAGAGTAAACCACCTGCTAAAAGTCTGCTGGAGAAGTCGCTGCCGGAGTCCGTCAAACGGCAGGTGATTAAAAAAATAAACACATTAACACAGAGTGATGAGTGAAAACAAATCCATAAAACTGAGTCAGCAGTTTCTCTTTTAGGGTTTTAATAGAGCCAATACTGACTCAGCACAATTTCAATCTAACTACTTCTGCATACTTTATCCAACTTTAGCCAATATATCAAAACATTCCGCTCATACTGGAGATGGGTGCTGACCTTTGGCTTTTGTTACTTGAACTTTTCAAATTTTTAACAAAATACTTAATTTACAAATATTTTCTCCTTAGAAATACATAGAGCTTATTAATTCCTTAAAACAACTGTTCTCTTTGTCATTGCTTCAGCATGCTGCCTCTACTTTTGTCATCTTGTGCAACTTTTAAGTTTTTAGCTACCAATCTGCAAGTTTTAGCTTTTAGCTATCCTTTTGCTTAATTTCATGTTGTATTGCCTTTTGGTATGTTGTACATTTTAGCTGCCATTTTGTTATTTTTGTCTATTGGTTTGCTACTTTTAACTATCATTTTGTTTTTAGTTTTAATAACTTAGCTTCTTCAGCTAATTTTAGCTGCTATTCTGCATCCTGCATGCTCGCTTGTTCATTGAATTGGTATAATTCTCATTTGTCAGGTTTTGGCTCCACTTTAGTCATTTTATCATTTTTTGAGAAATGGCTGCATGATAAATCTAATATACACGTCGGACACTTTAATAAATTTCATTTACACAACACAAAGAAAAGCTGTCCTTCTGTTCCTGTTCCAGATGTGCGAGCTGCTGCATTACTTCTGCGACTGCGAGCTGAAGCATCGCATCGAATCCATCGTCTCGTTCTCCGACAGATTTGTTTCCAAGCTGCAGTTTAATCAGAAGTTTCGCTACAACGAGCTGATGCTGGCTCTCAACATGTCCGCCGCCGTCACGGCCAAGAAGACCAAGGAGTTCCGCTCGCCGCCTCACGAGCAGGTACAGCCTTTCAGCGGCGCTGCTGTATTATTTACACCAAAACGTTGTGCTCAAGGCTGTTTCTGTGACATCAACACTTGGCCTGTCGCGATAAACAAATCAGTTAATCGCACGATGAATGAAAATGATCAACCTCATTTTCATTTATTGGCTTTATCGTTTCTTCGTGTCTCTCTCGTTCTACTGAAGACACTGGATGACAAAAGGCTCAACTCCAGTGTTCTTCACTGACCCCTCCCTTTATCTTTTCTCTTTAAAATCTGTGTTAACCGTCCAAAATGGTGCTGAGAAGCTAAGCTACGAGCTAAACTAACAGGCCGACCTCGGGAATAAACCTCCCATTTTGTCGAAGCTCCAAAATTCACAGTTGAAACTCGTGCCTTTGTGTAAAAAGTTGTGTTTTCTCTGCAAAAAGAAGCGGAGAACTTTACTGATTTTTTTTATTAAAAGCTTTGTGTGAAAAATGCTATTCTAAAGAGCTTAAATCACTGAGCGTCAGCATGTCAGCCCATATCATGACCTCCCGCCCATTTTTCTTAGAGACGTGCTGCTCAACTATACATCCTTTGGTTCAAACAGTCTCATACTGCCATCAGGTGGTCAAAAATGGTACTGCACACCAAACAAATCATAATTTCTTCTAAAATTTGACAATTATTGTTAAATTTTAAACATTATTGTTTATTGCAATGATTTCTGAGCCAATTAATCACCTAGCAAAACGTGTTATTGTGACAGGCCTAATCAACACAAACACCTGATGTATGATGTAGACCTCTGGATCAGCGGTGGTCATCTTCGTTTGCTCATTGTCCACACTCATTCCTTCCTGCTTCTTCACCCCTTCTCCTCCTTTTTTTTTAATATTCCCCTCTTTTTGTCTTTGCCTGACCTTGTTGCTCTGTTCGTTTCCTGCAGATCAATATTCTCCTGAACTTTGACGCAGGGGAGGACTGTCCCTGTCCAGAGGAGGTCCAGGATGAGCTCAAGTCCTTCCATGAAGAATTACGACTCCACTGTGGTAGAGTCCAACTGCTTGCTCAATAGATGCAGTTCTTACACAAATTTAGGGAATTTCAGTTAAAAAACATAAAATAAACAAGTCTAAATATTAGTTTGGCACCAGTTGATTTTGTTCCAACGAGTTTGTCTTTGGAATTTTTGGACAAATCTGAAAAACTTTTTTATGGTTTAGGATTAGATCTGCCTTTATTTGGCTTTTTTTTTGTAGCTGTGCTACTCTTCTTTATCACGTTTTATTCGCATTAATCTGACAGAAATATGTTTGCACTTGCAGGAATCCCAGTGGATGAGGAGGAGGAAGAGCAGGACACGTCTATAAAAGGCCGTCTGCTGGCTTTGCTCTACAAGATTAAAGGTCCACCTCAGAAGACAGAAGAAGAACCCAAAGAGACGGAGCAGGCGGCTCCAAGTAAGTGTCCTCGCTCACTAAAGAGAAAACTGCTCTAATCTACTGAAAATGGGCTTTTCTCTGAACACTTGAACTCTCTCTTCAGCGTCTTTTACTCGAAAGAAAAAAAAATCACAAATTGTGTTTTTCCATTACGAGAACCTGAAGGGCTCAAGTTTTATCTGCTGCATTTTTCACTGCAGACCACAAACCTTCGACATGGACAGAACAAGCTGTCTTTGTTCCAAGTGTAAAATAAAAAGATAGAATTGTTTGTCTTCCACAGTCTGTAATCCATGTGATTTATGTTGGGAATTATGTGCCACACTGCAAAAATACTTCAAAAAACATGGACTCCAAGTAGCAAATCAAATGAAAGCTGTTTTTTTCATTGTTATAAGATAGAAAAACAGTTTTGTTGTGATCAAAAAGCAACTCTTTGAAAGGTTGATGGTAAAAAATAAAAATAAAAAAGTGATTAGGTCTTAATCATTAATAAATAAATGCATAAATTTATAAATAAATAAATACATAAATAAATAAAGGGTAACAGTGCATCAATGCTACAGAAATTAAAAAGATATTAGGTCCTAATCATGAATAAATAAATAAATTGAATAA